ATTGCACTAAGAACTTAAATATACTTATGTATTTAGTTTTATAACATTGTTACTTTATTACCATATACTAAAGCATAAGCAAGAGTAGTTTATTTGTTTAATTACGTTAAACTACGAATTAAGAAAAAGTATGAAGAAAATGGTTAAAAGTCGATGTCGGTAATCCTGTTTAAAAACTATGTTTTTGGCGTAAATTATTTAGCCTAATATTGCTATCGACGGTATGTAGCATAGATATGTGACTCATCCTCTTTAGAGCTGAAGATGTTCGTCTACGAAATAAATTCTGAAAAACAAAAAATATATTTTGAAAAGATAGAGAAGAAGTAACTATGTTACCAATAATTTCAGAACACGTTTATAAAGGAACAAACTAAGAACAAATACTTAAATTTCATTTAAAGACTCATTATCACCTTAAATGCTTGTCGAAATCTCCGCGACATGAGACTGTAAAGAATCGGGTTGACGGCTGTTGACAAATAGCTGTTGACTAAGCTCAAATATCCGAACACTTGCCACACCTGAAAGAGGTAAAAAGCGTTTTCCTTATAACATAGAAAAATAGCGGAATACCTTTGTCAACAGATTACATATGGAGTGCCATCGTCTGTGATTTATTCCGTATGACAGTAAGACAAACACATCAGGTCAGTTAAGCTTATTTATGAGATGCTTATGTTGGAAGAGAAAACTTATTTACTTTATTACACTGTCATCAATTTTGTTGTTGTTACGTCATGAGAGCAGGAAATTTTGCATACTTGTAAATAAATAGGAAGAAAAGAAAATAAAAGTGTTATGTTAAATCAAGGTATAATATTATAAATGCGAAAGTTTAGATGGATGGATGTTTGTTAGGAGGTATTTCCGGAACGGCTGAACGGTTCTTTACGAAATTTGGTACAGATGTAGAACATAGTCTGGAAGAAAACATAACATACACATGGCTATTAAGTTTGTTTTTATTTCTGTGCGTACAGAGTCGCGGCCGATGGCTAGTATGAACATAAAATCAGTATGTTTTACGGTAGAATCTTATATTCGCTCTCGATGTTGCCTTTGCAAACTATGGCACACATATATATGAATAGTGTGTCTGTATGACGTCACAATGTTGATATAAATTTTTTTATCTACTAGATACTTACTTTGTAATAATCATCTTGTCGCAGTCGTGGTATGATCATCATTAGCCGTAAAACTGAATACGGGAACCAACAGAAAAAGAATGAAGCGGCGACAGCAGCTGTGGAAACATTAAATTTTATATTAAATCATAATTCTCAATTATAAATTGTAATTAGAATATTTTACTAAAGGAGAAACAGTTGAAGTTGAAGAGTAAGACACGAGTTTAACGAAAAATCTAAATTCGCAGCGGTTTTTGATATGAATAATAGATCATTTCATATTCTTGTCTTTTATAAAAAATGTAAGATGATTGGGATAGAATTCGGAGTATAATGTTGGTGAACTACACCAGAAATAAATTAATTCAACTCTTCTTAAACTGCCTATAGATGAGAAAAAAGTACAAAGTATATGTTAAGACGAAGATTTATTTGAGAAAAATATTGTACTCACCCAGCATTGTGACTGCTTTATCCCTGTTTCTTTTACCATTAGCGGGACTGCCCTTTAAATTCTCATTCGTATGTTTTAATTTCAAAGCTATCAAAATATAAATAACAAATATAACAGTCATAGGAAAAGCGAAAAATATAAAAAGATCAATACTCATTACTATCAGAACTTTCTCGGTAAGTTGAAAGAGACAGTAAATGCCTTTATCACGTTCATACAAGAATACATTGAAGACTTGCAGTACACAGAATAAACACGACAACAACCAATTGAATATAACTACTTTAATAACACGTGACGTCATAACAAGGGATTGTCGGAGAAAAGGCTTTACAATGACAATATATCTTTCAACGGTGAAAGCAAAAATAGTAAGAACACTGCAGTTACTGAGACAATCCCAGATAACGTAATGTATTCGGCAACCGATTTCCCCGATTGGAAAATAATCTGGTGTCCAGATTATGTAGATTTCAACAGGAATACATACAGCAGTTAATAAATCTGTTACAGCTAAATTGAATAAATAACAATTAGTAGGGGTCCTCATGGAACGATTTCGAATGATAACCGCACACGTGCTTATATTTCCAACTAAACTTAAAATCAGGACAATCGTTAAGAAGCCACTCAATAATATTTTATATTTGAGATCGTCTGTAACGCATATATCATCAATTTGCTTCATATTCGGATACAAAAAGAACGTATCATTATTACTTGTACTATTTAGGAACACCATTTTAACAGGCTCAGAGTGATTTGCAAACTGAAGATAATTTAATGAAGGATGGTTCACACATTACACCCGGTGGCGATCGGGGAAGACTAACAGTGTCGTTTTTTTCTACTACGAATAGTACAGGATGTTCAAAATTATGTTATGTTGTCGATATATTGATAAAAAAATATGAAACAATAATTAAAGTTAGAATATAATTTGGCTGTCATTGGGAAGACGATTTAACTATCGAGTGTCAATGTAAAGAATAAAATCAATTTATAGAAATATTTCTAGTTTAATGTTTTTAAATGTTGTCAACCAATGCGTCAATAGCCTACTGGTTAAGAGTACGGAATAGTGTTCTGGCAGACGAGGATTCGAATTGAGATGTTCGACTACTGTAAACTATACACACCTAACAAAAACTTTATCAGGGTTAGTTGGAATGTTAACAAGAAATATTTTGTAAGTAAATAAATATCTACTTACATTTTCTTTATTAAAAATAATGTAAAAGAAATTATGGAATTTAGGAACACCATGAATATAAAAGTAATCGAGTGTGTAGCCAAACAAGCGCTCAAATTGATGGCATTCAGAGGGCGGCTCGACAGCTAGCCTAATTGAAATTACGTTAGTACATCCGTCTACTTAAGGGTTTGGTACAATTTTTGTAAATTTATTTTACACTAGCGATCGCCCGGGACTTTGTCAGCGCACTATTTCTCGTAAAAATCCCATCAAAATCGAGCCAAGAGTTTGACAGATTTTCCAGAAAAAACGCCGATTTTCGGATAGACAAAGGAAAATTTAAAAAATTGTATTTTTATTATTGTATTTTGTCCATACAGTTACTCCAGTTTTATTACTTGTACAGAGTTCAAAGCAAACTGTAAAAAAAAAATATAAAAATTGAAGTTCATAACCTTACTAAATAATTTAAAGCTAAGCTATTAACAAATGAATTATCAATAGTGATTAGCTTTTTGCGACTACATTGATCCTATCAGTTTTTATTTGATCGCCTTACAGGAAATTTTCAACAAAAAATTAAAAAAATCTTTTATTTATGAATAATAATGGGTAATTACCTGGCGGATTACTACAAGTTTTTACTCCTACAATTTTTTATTTTTGTAACACATAATAGCCTATTTTTCAACTGTGGCCAGTTTATTGCATCATTAAAGTATTTCAAATAGCATATTTATTTTACAAGAATTTATGGTCAAACACAGACTACACATAAATATTACGAGGTACAGTTCGGCAAACAAGGGAAAAAAAATTGAGTCAAAATAATGAAATAAATTTATTTTTCACCTTCATTTGTTACAAGTATACTATATTCATTATCATTTAATAGTATTCTAAAGTTTAATTTAAATTGAAGAAAATGGACTTAAATATCAATAATTTAAAAAATCTCCGTAGTGAATTGATTGCATGTGTTTAGATAGACACAAAATGGCATACTGTGGGGCAACATAAACAAAAAATGTAAATAAGTTAACACTCATATTGTTATTTAACATAAAAGCAATGTTTCCGCCCGGGATCGAACCGGGGACCTTGTGCGTGTGAAGCACACGTGATAACCGCTACACTACGGAAACTAGCACTAGAAATAGCAAAGCGGGGAATTTTACCAAAAGTAAAACTATAATAGTCTTTTCAATCTTTATTAAAAATAAATATGAAAAATTTACAATTAAAAATATTTATTAAACCGTGTTATTTATCTAACTACTTCGGAACCACCGAACCAATTTTCAATCTACAATTTATGACCTATTTAAAACAAACAATAACTTCAGCCAATTTTAATAGAATTTCAAGTGAAATTCGAGCAGTTCTGTGTTCTGTATTCGCCTCCCTTGAAGTGCTTTGCTTGACAGCTGTTGTCAAGAATTCACTGAGTTAGAATCATAGAAGTTTATGTAAAAATTATATATAAGATAGTAATTAATGCCTGACCTAAGTTGAACCTCGAACCACATTCCACTGTAATAGACGATAGCATATTTCTTGATCTTTATTGACGCATAATGTTGCGTATAACATTATGCAATGTTGAAAATGAGTACTGCGATGGAATAAAACAGTTTTGTGTCATCTTATAGTAGTCCTAAGCTGATAAGTAACTCGTGCGCAGATACATTTATCAATAATCTAATTAACTATAATAATAATACGTCCTCGAGAGAAACGTTAGTATTTTAAACAATTTTATATTTGCACCAATAATCTTAGAAGTAGTCATTAGTAAGTTAATAACATTTACATATAAAGAACTAGTAGGTAAAACATACAATTAAGGGTCAAAGGTAACTTGATACAATTTATATCTATTAAAACGCCGTTGTGTTTCACTTCCTCAACCAAAGAACTTGTATTTTCGAAATTATTTTATAGAAAAATAAAGAGAAACCTTACTTGTTGGAAAAAAATAATGTTTGCAAATTACTTATAATAATAAGACGTAAATTTTTTAAGGTATGATTTCAAGATTGAAGAAAAATTAAATGAGCTCTTGAGCTTAGGCGCAAAAGGTAAGCTTTTAAAATTCGTTTAGAAATTTTGATTTTTATTAGACCTTAAAATGTAATTACACAATAATATGACTAGAAAATTAACATTTAAAAGAACACATTTAAATAATAAAAGAGTTTTTTTTAATGCAATTTTTGATTATCTTCATCCTTAAAAAGTATTTTGGTGATGTAATTTTTTCAATCCTTCATTGGCGGTGATGCTGGTCCTTAGAGTTGGTATATGATTGGCGCCTTCTATAACCAATGATTTCTTCCCGACGAACAAATTCTGAAAATAAGAATTGAAATAAAACTAATATTATAAAGAGGAAAGATTTAATTGTTTGTTTGCATTGTATAGGACCCGAAACTACTGATCCGATTCGTAAAGTTCTTTCACTGTTGTGAATCTGCACTACCTTCGGGTGGCATAGGCTACATTAATCACTAAATTTTTTCTTTAATACGCGCGGTCGAAGTCGCAGGTAACTACTAAATCAATGATAAAATGTTTGTGTCCCCTGCCAAAACACCGAAAACATTGGTATAAGAGATAAATTCGATTAACCATCGAAATATGTAAATAAGTGATGAAAATTTGTGCATTTTAAAATGTTGAAATTAAATAAAAAATTTCTTACTTTAAACGCCTGCCGAAATCTGCGCGACATAAGTCCGTAAAGAATTGGATTAACCGCAGTTGATAAATAACTGTTGATTAAGCTCAAATATCCAAACACTTGCCACATCTGAAACAAAAAATAGAAATTGAAAAAAAAACTAACTAGTAAGAAAGCTTTTAATAGAAGTTGGCGTGTTTCAATAAAACGTTTAGTTACTTACATAGAAATAATCATCTAATCTGAAGCGTGGTATGATCATCATTAGTTGTAGAATGAAGTACGGGAACCAACATATAAAGAAGAAAGCTGCTACAGCTGCTGTAAGTTGATTAACGATACCGTGATTAACAGTTTTGATTTAAAATGTCATTCATTATTTAGTTAAAAAAAAAGAAATTATTATTAGCATAAAATTTAAATCATTATTTGCTGATAGTTTATATTATTTCTATTTTAGTCCGTTTCCAGACTATATTTGTAACAATTAAAAATTAATTAAATAAAAAAACAACTAAACTAACCCAGCATTGCGACAGCTTTATTCCTGTCCCTTTTAACATTAGGAGGACTGGTTATTATTTTCCCATTAGTCTGTTTTAACTTTACGGCAATCAAAATATAAATAACTAATATAACTGTCATGGGAAGAGCAAAAAATATAAAAAGATCAATACTCATAATAATCAGCGCTTTATCATTGAGTTGAAAGAGACAGTAAATACCTTTGTCACGTTTAAACAAAAACACGCTGAAAACTTGCAATATACAGAATAAACAAGATAATAACCAATTGAAGGTAACAATTTTTTTTACGCGCGATGTCAAAATCAGGGTTTTTCTAAGAAAGGGCTTCGTAATGACAATATATCTTTCAACGGTGAAGGCAAAGATGGTTAACACACTACAGTTACTAAGACAATCCCAAACGATAAAATGAATTCGGCACCCAATTTCGCCTATCGGATAAAAATGTGGCTTCCAGAGCATATAAATCTCGAAAGGAATACATAAAGCAGTCACTAGGTCCACCACAGCTAGATTGAACAAATAATAATTTGTAGGGGTTCTCATCGAACGATTGCGTATGATAACCGCGCACGTGCTTACGTTTCCCGCCAAACTGACTATGAATAACACTATCAACAACCCACTCAACACGATATTTATGTTAACATAGACCGTTATATCTGCATTGCCAATAGTTTTTGTATTCGGATATAGGAAAAATATATCATCATTGTTTGTATTATTTAGAATCACCATTTCAACAGGGTCAGAAATATTCAAACTGTAATTTGCTTGAGTCAAATGACGTATCACTTGTTACTCTGAGTGCCGATGGGGGAAGACTAACGACGTATAATGTTTTTCGTAACACCAAAAAAAATACAGGACGTTCCAAAAATTTTATAGAGATATTTTTATTGATTAACGGTTACCAAAATAAATGAGCTAGTTATCAGCAACACAATCTTAATAAAATATTCTATTTAGTAGCTCAAAAAGTCGTGCAGTTTTAACTTTTGTATTTTGTAACACAATTTGCCCAAAACGTTTAATATGCGCGACATAATTTGCGCATAAATTGCAAAAAACTTAAGTAAAAGTACACAATGATTACCCAGATTTTATTACAAAAGCGACTGCAGTCTTGTTCAGTGTGAACCCAACAAATGTGTCGGTTGATGTAAAAGATAAAGATAAAAAAGACGTTGAAATATCAGTTGTCGAATACCCTAACCGGACTGACATCGATTAGATTGACAAGCGGAGTAGGGATAACAAATACATATAGGGTATGTACATTACAAACAAAATTGTATGGGTTATAGTAACAAAGGTGTGGTTAAACGTACCTTTAAACTAAGCTGACCTGTTTATTCTTCGCATTTGAAAAAAAATAAATTGAAAAGTTGGGAACACCATATATTTATTAAACGTATTGAAGGGCGAAGCCATAAATTTACTCAAATTGATAGCATTTATGTGTGCGATTCACAAAGGTACCCTAATTGAAATAGCGTACTAAGTGTACTGGAGATGGTCCAATTTTCTTCGTAATCAAATGTTAATTTTCTAGACGAATAAGCGGACAAAGTGCACTAGATACCATAACGAACTTAGAAAATGCATAGAATTGACAATAACTTTTGATATGTTACGTGAATGTCGCACGTCAGTCCCATATATTTTTGAAATTCAATATGGAATCGCTTCGAAGCGAATGCACTTTGTCTAGCCTCCAGACTGGGAAAGTGTCAGTGTAAACATATCAGACGAGGAAAAGGGGGTCAAATATCTGATAAAGCAATGATAGTACTTTATACTTAATCCTTTAATGTAATCAAAATTTACTTATAATTTGTTGGATATAGTATTGATACCGTATCTTCGAATCTACAAAATATATGGAAAGAGAACATTTGTTACAAATATCTAAGTTCAGGAAGTAGGGTGTTTCCTATCGGAAACCACATCAACTTTTTATTCCATCGGTTCAAAATCTCTATGTTGAATGTTTGATTAAAGAAAATGAAAGAATAGAATATAAAACACCATTTAATTAGCTTCGTTTATGTATAAATAATAAATATTACAAAACAGTATTATTACGACAAACGTTACCATTAACTATCTTAATTTTAATTTGATACAATAGTTTATTTTATATTTGGTTATCCAGGATAATAAATAATAATCTACCTAAAACCTACTTGACTTCGTAACTCATACACTTATGTTTATATTGAGCAATGCAATTACAAAGCCATTGCAACCTTAGCCAATGAAGCCAAAAATGTCTCGTATTTTTAGCACATTTACCCGAAATCTACAAATACATTTATATTTTTATATTTCAAAGTATAAAAATAGAAAATATGTAGGTAAGCTATATTTATGATTGTCATCTGTATTGCTTCACGAAGATGTTAAAATCTCCGTTATATATATTCTAATCGGACTTACAAAAAAAAACAAAGATTACATGACATAGCAGACTTATTGAAATTATCACAAATCTGTCACATTCGACTCAGTTAATCTAATTCTATTGTGACTTATACAGCTTAGCATAGAACATTCAATTGTTAACGTGTTCCTTTCATTCTTCTTTGGGATTTATTATCTGAGCAACTTTCTTCTCTTCTGCGTTAACGTCTTTGTCATCCCAGCCCCATACACTATGGCTTCCGTCACCAGTCCTCTTTACTCTCTTCTCGATAATCTCAGTTGATACAGTTTTCAAGTCGTAAGCCAAACCGATCTTGGCCATACTGTCTATAAACATTTTGGTAAAGTTAAGAGAGTAATCTCCCAATTCTGCAGTTTTGTAATCCCAGGGGAATGTGTGATGATAATTATGGAAGCCTTCTCCGAGCACGACCAAGGAAACTGGTTTAGTTTCGACGGGATTTATGTGCCTGTCGTAAGGTTTGGAGCCCCACAAGTGGGCCCAGGAATTGACCAACCAAGTCACGTTGAGAACATATACGTAGCGGAATACAGCGCAGACATAAAACGCATTCCACAAAGATTCGCCCCAAAGTGTAGGGATGTAGGTGGGCAGAATGAAACAACATAAAGGCATTATCAGTAGGTAGTACCTGAAAAGAAATATAGTAATTCAAATTATATTGTAAATGTATAACAATGCGTTACATAATGCGAATGTTTAGAAGAATGGATGGATAGATGGATGTTTGTTTGAAGGTATCTCCAGATCGGCTGAAATTTGCCATACATTTAGAACATAGTTTGGAAGTATTATTGTACACTGTTGGACTTCAATTATTGAAGTTCAGGATGTATGTAAAACAATCTAGATTTTGGTATCTTAAAGACACTGTAATTTTCATGTCATATTTTTTTATTGTTTTATTCCTAGTGCATAATAATAGTTAGCTGTATCATACATTCATCTTTGTTTAATAAATGTAATAACAAACTTTGTAACAAGATAGGTTTTTAATAAATATTACTTTTGATGCAAAGTAAACATAGATAAGTGGTTAATTACTCAACAAGTTTTTAACAAATATATCATGAGCTAAGCTGAGTGCTTATTTATATTTAATAAATTACAATGCTTTAACTATACGTGAGTATTAATTAAATTCGATATGTATAGCCAATAATGAATTTAAAGTTCAATAATTTAATAAATTCGTTTATTTCATTTGAAACGTTTTGAGGACGCCACTGCAGTCAATGAAGGTAATAATTGAGAAAAATATGCTCACTTCTTCTGGAAACGTAGTACGGGATCAGCCCAAAGGTCATTCATTTCAAGCGTCTTGCCTTTGGCCTTTATCTGGGGATGTTTCTTCACAAGCAGCCAGCCGACGTGGGAGAAGAAAAAGCCACGAGTCGCGTTGTGAGGGTCGGCGTCGGTTTCCGAATACTTGTGATGCATCCTATGGTCACGGGCCCAGTCCAGCACGGAATCCTTTAACAAAGTATTAAATGCATTTAGCTTGCTTTGTATAGGAAAAGTGAAGCAAACGAGCATCAGGCCGTATCAATTCTTACTGACGCATTGTTGACTTTTGACAAAGAGGTATTTATGTTTTAAAACAACTGTTAGTCAGAGCATTAATTATATAAAATTATTTTGACTATAAAATAAACGATGTAGTTTCAATTTAAAAAAAAAATCTTAGTACTAAACAATGATAGGTTAAGATGGTTCAAGGAGTCGTGAACCTTTCCAGACTATGCTGGATGTCATTCAAAGATAACATAATCTGACCATAATGTCGTTTGAAGGACGCGGAATATTTCCGATAGAACACACCATTTCAAACTATATTCATATCAAATGTCAATGTTATAATAATAATCGTTATGCGGAATTTTACGATGTTAGAGATGAAAGTAAAATAATTACAATGACTGATATTTTATTATCTAGAGGGCAGGGTTAAATATATTGATAATTGTATGTCAAAGGTGTGGTGGATAGCGCATGTTTACCACGTGTTCTCTGCCAGACAGACAGTCATGATCTCGGGCAATCTGTCACGCTGCATTAATGTGACTAAAGTTTACAATATGTATGACAAATTTTTATTGGTATAGTCCGCTAAAATTATTTGCCCCGGTGGCTATGCCCTGATCTTTATCGGAAAGAAGCTGTATTTTGAGTTATAAGCCTAAGTATGTAGGACTAACCACAATAGCGTCTCCTCTCGTAAAAGAGCATGTTGCATTATAGGATTTTTATAACACTATTTTGTTGATATGGTACCAAAGATGATTAGAAAATAAGAAATACTTACCAAAACTTACAATTTGTCAAGGAATTTATTATTGGACAATGGATTTACTATTCGTAATTATTAAATATAGGTTTTGATTAATAATATTTTTTTATCTGAATGCTATCAGTAATCAAACTATTACTTCATCATCACTATCATTATTGTCATCATCATCATTGCAAGTTAATAAAATATTGTAACCTATACAATATTCACTTACCTGGAAAGCTATTGTATTGAAGAGTGTAAGCATCACCCGCAGTGGCAGTTTGGCCTTGTAGGATTTGTGGGCCCATAGCCGGTGCGCCCCTGCCGTAATACCAAGCCCAGAGCAAATGTACAAAATAAATGCTGAAACCAAATTTATTCAATTGAAATATTACCATTGTGATTACACTTTATATTATAATAATCATCATCATCACCACTCTTGGATTCTCTCACACTCTCAGACTCACACACTGGGTCTTGGAACCAGTCCTAATTCTGGGGTGACTAGGCCATAGTCAATCACGCTGGCCCACTGAGGGTTGGTTGACTTCACCTACATCTTCGCAGTTGTGCATTTTGCATCACGATGTTTTCCTTCACCGTCGGAGAACGTCGGATAAATGTACATATAAATCGAAAATAGAAAAACACGTTGGTGCATAACGGGATTCGAACCCACTAGCAGATTACAAATTAAAAGCTTTTACCACAGCAAATGTTAATAACTAACTTCGTAAAAAAAGAGCTGAAATTTTTCCATCACAAAATACAATTATCCTTTGAAGTTTCAGACTTACTTTAAATTCAAAGTTAAAAAATTATAAGTTAGATTTTTTTGTGCATCTCCGAGATAATATATTTTAATTTATAAATTTAAAGTAGGCACCTACTTGGGTACATGCACTTATTTACATATGCCAATCGTATGTCACCTTACGGGGCGTTACTTAAAAAAAATAAAAAATATTTATGTTCATTGTCAACACATAATTTTTAATTTTTAATAATAAGTTGTTATTGTAAACATAGTGAAAAACATGATTTGCAGTAATGGAAGTTTTTAAATAATGAATTATGTAATTCTTACCAAATAGACTTGTTGACCACATCGCTTTAAAGAAGAAGAGATAAGCACCGTACAGTCCGGTCAAATGCAAAAGAGCAAAGAGTATGACATTCCTCCATACTATCTCCCATTTCCTCTTCTCAGCGGACGGTGGAACTATTATCGGATCGGCAGCTTTAGCGTCTGCTTCGAACAGCGCCCAGGATTCTGCGTTTTGTTGCCCTTGAGGCGGCATCTTTCTTTAAACATTAAAGGGAGTTGTGGTTAACAAAGTAGTCTTAAAATAAATTGTGAATTTTATTCTACAATCGCTTTACCAATGACGCTAAGAACGTTGATACATCAGAAGAGCAATTTTTGCTATAAGAAATTTTGTAACGGGTGATATTTGTTATAAAAATCTTTTTATATAGAATTAAGACTTACGTTTAACTTATGCTTAAATAATTAAATTATAGTATTTATTTGTACATACGAGATAAGGATTCAATAAAGTGCATCTCGGGTTTTTATGGAATAATTTTGCACGCACTTTATTTTTCAAAAATGCACGTAATTTTTCAAAACTCGCAGCAACCAGTATCTTTAAAAAGTCAAATCAGTAGTCGCATAAAAATTTCAAAAATTGGTATTCAAGTCTGTCAACATTACACGAATTCATGGAGCAATATCGACTTCTTTTTTACGATATTTACTGAGTTTATTTCCTTATTCATAATCTTTTTATTACACATATCCGCAGATGCTGTAAGCGGGTGCGTGTAAAAAGTGGGTCAATGCCAAGGTCTGAAGACTAACGTAATGGATTAAACTTAACCTTTTAAGACCCTTTTCATGAATGTATGTGTTTATCCATAATTTTGTTAACTTTACCAACTACATAAATGTTTAAATTTTTAAACGTATGCATATTAATAATTGATTAACATATAACTACGTCAAAGAAGATACATATATACATAACTATATTACCTAATATTCTTGTCTGTGTTCTGTTTTTTAATCATCTTAACATTTAATCACGCTAATCTCAGACGGCTTATCCGAATTTGGTATTTTACTATTAAGCATATTTAAGTTTTAAAAATTATCATTTAGGTCAAAGTTTCATTAGTCGTTAGCGCTCGTATGCGGGGGGGACTCCTCTCATGGGATGTATCGACATAGTTATCTACTAAAGAAATTGCGCCATTAGTTTATTAATAAGAAAGCTATAGCGATTTAAAGCGTCAACCATTTCTTTAAAACAATGCACGCGGGCGAAGACGCAAGCAAAAGTTAGTCGCTTTCATTTGTCGTTAAATTGGAAATATCTGTTACTTTTTAGTAATGCGCAAGTCAAAGATGTGGTTGATATTATTAGTTAATACGCAGTAAATAAAAAAGAACTACAAATTCATTGTTTTACATTACGATTCTCGTTTTGACTTTGCTAAAGAAAAAGTCAAATAAAAATTAATATAAATGTACATTTGTATCTTTGCAGTAAAAAAGTTGAAAAATGATCATCATTTTTCTAAGGTTAGGTAAATAATTTGGAATAATAATTGACTTGATCTTTTTTATATAAATTGGTTTTCATTGACAAGTGAAAAAAAGGAATATTTTTATCAAAGTATACCAATGAAAATAGCCTTTTCTTTCGTTATTAGATCTGTCAGAAAATATGTGAAATATACAAGGGCATAGAGAATGGTATAAGAGAGAAAAAACTGAACATTAGACTTACAGTACGGAATGTACCTTTTGACATTGACAGGAGGGCGCTAGAGTGCTACCTTAATTTAGTTTGGACTTTATTCCACCGGGTTAGATATCCTTGTCGGTCTATACTACTCAAAACACATTAACTTGTCGAATTGAACAAAAGAAATATAGATTCTTAAAAGTTTTATAATATTTAGATGTTCTTTATTGTACGTCTTGAGTCGTTAGGAGCAATGTTCAAAGTTAACTTAGACGTCACCTAATATTGTATTCTTGAATTTTTTGCATTAACTCGCACGTCTGTTCTTTTTTCATAATGGACAAATGCGCTTGACCCTGGGCCCTGTTAACTGGTGATGTGGCCGAAATATTTTACTTTGTGTGCTTATAATTATGACAACACTTGTCATTTATTTGCTAAAGGCGCACGATAATTAATCACACATAATAACGATTTAATTTAATACGTAGAAGATAATTAATTTTTATTGCTTATGAAGCGATTTAATGTTAGGTGTGTTATTTATTGTTTTTTTATTATTATTATGGATGGAAAATATTATAAATCTAAGCCATTCACAGAAAATTGTGAAGCAAAAGTCTAGCGTGGTATCGTGGATCGGTATACCAACAAGAAAGTAATACTTAGTAGTGAGATACTTAGAATGTGGATAGCTACAAAAGTAGAAAAGGGAAGAAAGTAAGCATGGAATGTTGGAAAGAGGTCATACATGAGATGGGAGTTGGTAAAAACGACCATAAAATTCTTTAACCATACAATTAAATAATAAATATTTTATTTTATATTTATGTGTGCGAAATCGATAGGAAATAAATTTCAGGATGTAAAATATAACTGGTTGCTTAATTAGTGGGTTTTGACCCACGACAACACTCTCAACACCAAAAAAGGTTCTCTGGCCCTTTTTCATTAATGTCAAGTTCAAAATAAGTCTAATGTAATGAATAAAATCTTTACTCACTGTAAAGGTTAAACAAAGGTTATATAGACTATATAGAGGCGACGTTAAGAGAAAATGAAGTTTTTTATTAAACTCATTTACGTAAGACGTATAATGAAGGAAACTGATTGAATAACTACGACAAGGCTCAATGTCTGTATAATTTAAACCAAACAAAAATAAATAAATTTTAATGACTGACGTCATTGAAAAAACGTATTGTCCCTAAAACTGCAAAAAAAAAATCTAGAAGGTCACGTGACAATAACAAGACAATAATAATGAATGTTTATGTGATCATGCATATAATGGAAGATGTATAGTCGAGGACCTTTACTACCGATTTCAGTGAACTCTTGACATAGCAATATACATGTAACATTAGTTATGTCTTAGGCTCTAAACTTTGCGAATTTTATCAGTTCAAGGCCAACGAACTTTTGCGATTATCACTGCGTATTGACACTGAATTGTAGTCACATGCAGAGATTTGTGGAGACAAAGATTGTAACTACGACACTCGATGTATATACCAATGTCACAAAAGATTGCTTACCGTGTATACGCAGTCGATACTAGTGTCGATAGTTGTATGCACTAAGCGCGGGGAACGCGATTCTCGCGACGCAATCATTCATGATGCGACGATTTACGTCGCCTTTTGTTCGAAGGGCTTTACATATTAAGTATTGCTTGTTATAATTAAATTTTGCGTTTACAGTAGTTGCAACTCTATTGCTATTTTACGATTCAATGCTCACACACCGACACATTGATGCAACTCCGAGTATGACCTTATTACATTTGCAACACGTGCGAATAATGATTATATTGGCCGATAAACTTTGTATAAAAAATGGGTTTTATTTGCAAAACCTTAATAAAAAAAAACTTCAAAATATTGACATTGTGAAATGGGTATTATATAATTAAGTTTAAAAATAAACTTTTTTGTAATAAAAATACTTAAACAATTTTAAGAATAGTATTGGGCGATGTCGAGCGCTAGAGTCCCAAATGTTAAGGTCATTATTTGGTTAGGTCAAGAATTATATATGTGACTTGAACAGATAGACTACAAAAATACTAAAAATAAAACATTAAAAAAATAATGACCCATATCTACTTCTATTTTGCGATTACAGAGTAAAGAAGAAAAGGTAATTCCCGCGATTTTATACTCTTAAAAAAGAAATAGAAACTACGAAGTCAGAAGAAGCATTTCATTCAAATTAATTTTATTAAAATTAGGATTTCTAATCAGTTGTTTAATTTAAATAAATTATATTTATTAAAAGATATTTACTTGTAATGAAATGAGTGCGTTGATGAATATTTTTTTATTCGACAATGGGTTCTAGTCAATATCTACAGGCGAGTTGTTCGTAAAACACATGCATATTGTGTCGTGAACCTTGTCACAATTATGGGTTATAATGTTTAAATTAAAACACTGAAGGTCAACAGTATCAAGATACCATTCGCTATTTAGCAGTGCATCCACGAGTATACTGTTTTGTTTAACCCTAGCGTAGACGCATTGGAGAATTGCCGCCCTATATTTCTCAAAACAATTGCCTGTCTGTGATTTTAAACTTTTTAATCGTCTTAGACTGTTGTATAGAACAGAGAATACGAAGGTACTAGTGTCCTTAGTATAGATAAATTTTGTATATCAATTCGGTTTATAATGTTAGTAACTGATATTAATTGGACACATCTTATAGAATAAGTAATACGTAGCCAAAGGTTACTTAGCTTTAAGAAATAGAAAATCAATGAAGAGGATTCGATTCGAACTCTTAATATTAGGCGGAGGTGAACTCAACTTTTAAGCTGTTACGGTTAAATTTGTCATTATAAACGTGATTAAATTATTTAAAATACATTTTCATTGAAAAAAATACATAAAATTACTTAATGAATGTATAAGAACTAATACTTGCGATGTTGCATTAGTTAATACATTAGTATGAATAATTTTCCTACAATGTATTATTATTATTATTTCAATTGTCATTGTTATTTAATTAACACTATCACATGTATTGTGAAATTGGATTTGTAACATCACACAATGTAGTAGTAGGAAGTGATGCCACTTTAATATGTTATATTCTTACATAAATCAACAATGTCTATTCGTTCTCTAATAAGTTGATTGGATTTTATTGTAAATCTAAAATCATAATAAAATTCTACAAGGTAACATATTAGCGTCCCTTCTGAAGTATTCGTATATTTCAGATCGTTCAGATTTGTTACATGCAATAAATTAATTAATTGATAAAATAATATACATCTAACAATATATTTATGCGTGTCATCATTATATTGTTTCGATGTTTGTTCGTTTTTTTTTATTATTACACGTTTTTATATAAAAAAGACATTCAGGATTCATCATTTTAACGTAAACTTTATAAGGTAAAGTAACGACTCGCTTTATATGATTATTAGCTGTCGCCCGCGACCTCGTCCGCGCGGAATATAAAAAAAACGTTATTATCAGCCTATGTGTTCTTCCACGCTATGTTCTACATATATGCCAAATTTCAGTGACATCCATACAATCAAACAAACATCCATCCATTGATCCAAACATTCGCAAGCATAATATTAGTAAGATGTTAGAATTATAAAACAAAAATTGCAATGTGTTAGTTCAGTGTTTGGGCGAGGGGGATAAAATAATACCGATTGGGATTCGTTATATGTATGATAAGTTCTCTTGCAGTTTATGGATATTACGATTGATTAGTCATAAACGGCGCAATACGGAAGCTCGTATTATGTCCTAGAAGTCATGAATCATAAAAGATCTACCGTGTAACCATGGCAACGATCAGGATCAAAGTCGTACCGAGCTCTGTCTACATTATTTTGATTAAGGAGATTGAAACTAGTATTATTAGACTGACTACTATTCTTCTTTGCTTATCTCTATATAGTTTATATAAAGATTAGCGGTCGCCCGGGACTCCGTCGATCCGGAATTAAGAAAAACATAATTAGAAGTCTGTGTTCTTCTAGACTATTTTCTATAATATATGTATGCCAAATATCATGGAGTTCCGTTCTGACCTTCTGGAGGTACCTTCGAACAAACATCCATCCATCTAAACATATGCATTTATAATATTAGTAAGATAATAAGATAAATGTTTGCAAATTCAATAACAACTTTTGGCGGGAACAATTGACAATTGTGAGTTCGGATACGTACATAGTGGCGTGACATATGACGTCGAGGGACACAATCGAACGATGATCGAGATAAATGAGAACGTAGCATCGCCAGTTCAAGTTCTCTATTCGCTAATTCAATATCTATACCAACAGCTAATTACACTATCGAATCATTACTGTTCCACGAATCTTACGCAAGTGTTAATTGATGTGTAATCCAGGAAATTTCTACAATTTTGAATGGTTAAAAAAAATGTTGCATCGAATTTAAAATTAAATAAGAATATGTGAAAAATATTCTTTTCAATAAATAAATATGAAACATAAATTTTACATTTTTTTTAATTAATTTTTCTTTATTTAATTTAATATTTACTACTTAATTTAAATAATATAATTTACATATACATTACTTTGAAATTAATTTCCATTTAATAAAATTATTGTAACATGTTTTTAGTAAATGTAATTGTTAAGAATAAGACATGTTTCTTTAATTACAATAAATAAAAGAAAAATTTAAATGACAATTGAAATAATAAATGAAAGAACTCACTTCTGATTGCACTAATGAAAGAAAACGATTCCAGAAAATTTAATTCCGCTGCACCGAATTAATTCACGAATAAACTTGAAACTGTTAGAATTAAATTAATAAGTTTTATACCTTTTTATAATTAATGAAATAACCACAAACAATTCACACTGAACTTAATATTTAAAAACGAAAACGTTCACGAGCTGCGTTCAGATTTAGTTGTCGCGAAAGACTGCGAATGAAAATTCGTTTAAAGCGATTTTATAGATTGCCATTATGCTATTACGATTGTAAAGATGACCGACGCGACGCGAACATGTCGTCTCTCACGACCCACGCGGAAAATAGGGGTCTCTATGTCACTACCAAGCGGAATAAAATTTCCATTTGCTGATATTTTGTATATGTTTAGATATATTATAATGAAATCAATTTATCTGCTATCTCTACAAATCATATTTCAAAAAAAAAAAATTAACAGAAAAATCATAATATTTCTTATTATTCTGCTTTTAACTGACTAACGCACGCTCACTCCATCAACTCCAGTATTTTGTAACAAAATTTTAGTTTCTAACCATAATTCGATTAAGGGAATACACTTTATGGTTGTTTTTATCTTGTTTACATCTACATGTGGATTAAGAGACTTTACATATTCTTTTTTTATTTATCAATAGACAAAAACTGTCATTACTGAAAAAAATATATTATGTTGACTACATTTTGGGCTATAAGCTTGCAGAACCCTACAAATTCCTTTTGTTTTTAGTAAAGTGCTAAACTCAAAGTTATTCTATAGAAATTCTTTAAATATTTTATTCTACAGTTTCCCTTTCAGCTCTTCTCGCAGCGAACACATTATGATTAGAAACCCCTAAATTCACTTAAGAGAGGAACGGTTGCTCAGGGGTTAAGCATTTTACTTGTAATCTGCAGGACCTGGGTTCGAATCCCGCCCACCAATGTGTTTTTCGACTTATATGTACATTTATCCGACATTCTTACGGTGAAGGAAAACATCGTCATGCAACCCTCACTGGGCCAGCGTGGTTGTCAATGGCCTAGACACCATAACTTAGGACAAGCTCCGAGACCCTTAATACATGGGATATATAGAGAGCTGATGATGACCTCTAATTTAGGGTAGGTTCGAATCCCTTGATATAGACGTACAGCTGATGATGTTTCGTAAACTAGTCAATGTTCAAAAAAATATGTAGCATATAAAGTTGTCATATAACATTGTCAGTGTAAATATCTTGCAAAACGTTTTACAAATTGCAATATTTGTACGGAGCCTTGAAAAAAAGCATTCATGTTTAAATAAATTCGCAAATAAGTCGTTTGTCTTCCATTATATTGCTATTACAATTTATTATTAGCAATTTTTACAAAATATATTTTATTGTTTTGACTTTGTACCATTATTAATAATGCAAATATAATATTGTTATTATCGACTTATAAATTAAATAAACACCAAGCACACCTGTTTCTATAAAACCAATTGTTTATATCGGAAATAATGTATTTTAATTTATTTCGTTCAGGAATTAAATAATATTTATATAAGTTGAAACGTGAACTAAATTTTAACTTACCTATTATTCAAAAGGGTTCTAAGCGATATAACATAATTTGTTAATCAAAACATCGAACATGGAATCCGATTACAAAAACATTGAAAACTTCCAAAACATTGGAGTTGGAATGACGATCTCATAAACGTATCGTACCGCAATAATCAAAAAGGATAACTTTTCATACTCGTATTTTCCTAGAACTATAAAAAAATACATTTCTAGGAATTCGGGGATCTTACGCGCGTTTTACTTTTATCATCAACTCGAGAATAAGATGGCTCATGTAAGTAAAAAATTAAATCATAAAAACATTTCAAAATCAGTCAACCACCTCCACTTGTCTTTTTGACCAATAAGTTTTGTACAGGGTTTCCGTCTTAAATCGTTTTGGGACCATAGAACTGATGTCCTGTCCCAGAACAGATGTTCCGTAAAGAACTTTGGCATTTATCTAAATAATGGATCAATAAATTATCGTTTAGAAGACACCCTTAGCAATATTATTTTATTAATACCTTGACACGAGCGTCAGTGGCTCAAGGGTTAAGTGTTTGATTTGTAATCTGTGTGTCCCGGGTTCAGATCAAAGTACCAATGTTTTGTTCTAATTTCCATTTACATATGTATTATGTACATTTATCGGACTGTATTTTGGTGAAACATCGTGCTGATGATGATGATTTTTTTACACAGTATAAAAACCGACATTTAGCTAACAAACAACAGACGAGCGGAGGAGACCCCCAATGACATAATTTGACCTAAGCAAGTAAAGTAAAAACACAGAATTTTTATGTACGTCATATGTAGATACATTGCTAGTTTGAAACCTAATATTATGTACCCAATATTGATGTTTATCTTACAAAGTACATACCTAATAAATATATCTTATATCATTTGCTAAGCATTTAAATATTTGACATAATACGTAAACGTAAGATGGGTTAATTGCGCTATTAGATGAGACTTTGAAGTGTCGTTTTGTATAAAATCGAAGGGGAATTTCGTATTTCTAATTGAATGAAAATTAAAAAAAATCAGTTTGAACACAACATTTTTGAAATCCTAAGCAATCCTGATCTACTCTTTGTTACATTTACGTTTCGTTTTCATCTCTCTCCATTTACGTTTCGCTTTGTCAACAAGGCAGAGAGCTAAATGGTTATTCCACTAGGTTTCGGGTGTCAGTTTTATGTATAATAAGCCACCAATAAAAGTATTAAGAGCTCGATACATACATCTTACGATATAGTGGGCGGTAAGTGATAAAAGTCTGGGCCGTGCATCAACAGGACGCGCTCTGGAGAGTCGGGTGATTTGGATTAAGCACTTGTCACTTGCTACAAATAGATGTATGACTAACTGTATGATAATACGTTTATTTCCACTAGCTGTAGCAAGCGACTCCGTCCGCGCGGAACTAAAAAAAAATAATTAGTAGCCTATGTGTTCTTCCAGACGATGCTCTATATGTATACCAAATTTCATCAAGATTCGTTCTGCCTGTCTGAAAATACCTTCAAATAAACATCCATACTTCCCACCATCCATCTAAACATTCGCATTTATAATATTAGTAAGATATGCATCCGAATAAAAAATATATTGTAGTTAGCAAAACGTAATTTTATTACGATTAATTGCTATTTGTTTTTATTTTTATGTCATTTTAATTTTAATTAATTACATATTATTATAGAGATAACATATTTTTCCACATTTAACTTAATTTACTTGAGCACTGCATCACGTTTTTGCGGCAGTCAAAGATAACATTAACACGTGTTTGGACTTCGATCGTAACTGAAAGTCGTACGTTGGTGTCATGATCATGAATTATTATTTAAGGTCATTTTGAACCTTGAGACGAAAAAAGTTACATCTCTTAAAAGAAAGGTCGGTTTTCTGCTTTAAATTTATGTTTATATACACGTCAAATTCCACAATTAATTATTTTACTGTCGTCAAAGGCTAGCTAAGCGTTCCGTTAACGCATTAACGACGTGACGTCACTAGTATACAAAGTTTTTGTATGCGACTTCGTTCGCCGATTACAATACGCTGATACCGCATAGTTACACCAAAATGAATAATTCATTACAATGATATAAATTAATTATTGTCTTAGAGCATCTACATTCGTAAAATAAATAATTCCCGCCATTGAATTTGTGTGTATGTTCGTAACAAAAGGTCAAAACGAACTCAATTATCTATGGTTAACAGGTAATCATAACAAGTTAATACGCTTGCAGAAAAAATGTGTTTTTCCTCGTTTTAAGTTTTAGTCATTTGTCAAGCAATAGTTAATAAAACTTGTAAAGTATTACATATATCTAAGACTAGCTATCGCCCGCGACTCCATCCGCGCGGAGTTAAAAGAAACTTATTTAGTAACCTATGTCTTCTTCCAGACTATGTTCTAAATCTATGCCAAATTTCATCAAGATCCGTTTAGCCATTCTGGAGATACCTTCAAACAAACATCTATCCATCCAAACATTCACATTTATAATATTAGTAAGATAATACATGTAATTACTCATAACATCTGCGTTGATATCGGTTTGTTTTAATAACATTTTTCAAATGTTAAAGCTTCATAGTGCGAACTCTGGTAAAGAAAGTGGCGTTTGACATCCTTTGATTATTCCGGCAAGTACTACATAAAGTAAGTGATGAAAAGCGATAAAGTTTTACATAAGACAAATAAAATACTGTATCTTCAAATATATTTTATCATAGTTATTAATAATTATATAAAAGCGTGGCGCTCAACGTGTTATAATACTTACAATTAAATAGTAACTACTGCTGTAATTCTTCATACCGAAATTATTTCAGCATTTATGTAAAAAATATCCTAGCAACAAATTATAGCTATATAACCATATAAGAAATAAAATTTGCATAGAGATAGGTCATTGTCTGAAATTACTCAAAGACTACTAAGTTTTTTTTAAATGCCGATGAAGGCGTGGGCAAATGATTTTTTTCAAGATTCAAGGTCATTGTTACTAGTGAACAATAACGGTGGGTTACAGATACCAAAACCTCTGTATAAAACATATCGTCATCCCTGTCTTTGATCTTTGACAAAACCGAGATATCAATATGTTTCAAACGGCTATTTTGGACTCAGAAACCCATGGTCTGTTTGTTATCTGGAAATAAGCCTAGTAGCCTTTATATTGGTCTATCTTAATTGCTCTTTATTAATGTGGTACACCATCATTTTGTCACGTCGAGGTAACAGATTTAGGGTTAATATAGTTCTGAACTAAGGATTAAATCAATTAATACATTGGCCAAATATCTAACAACTACTAATTAAGTAATATTTACAAAGATTAAGTAAACCTTACAAATATTATAAATGCGAATTTGGTTGGATGGATGGATAAAAGAATAGATAGATGTTTGTTTGAAGGTATCTCCAGAACGACTGCATGGATCTCGTTGAAATTTGGTATAGATGTAGAACATATTCTGTAAAAACACATAGGCTACAAATTAAGGTTTTCTTAATTTTGCGCGGACGGATTTTGCGGGCTATAGTTAGTACTCAAATAAATAACTGAAGGTAAATAGCTGAAGAATTTTTTTCTCTTTTTGAGAATTGACAAATCATACAACTAAAAACAAAACAAAAAGTGTACATTATTTTTTCGATTATATAAACTGCAATCAAAGCAAAACAATCCAAGTGTAATAAATCTGAACGCAGCGAATCATCACTCACCCCACTCGGCCACCTTTAGACTCTCGTGATACGTAATTTTAATATGTGATTTCTGATGTAAACATTTCTAATTAAATTGATTCATATGCCGTGATTGTCACGTGATTACAACAGTGCAGAGAAAGAGTTGTTAATCACAATGTAATATCATTATGCAACTTGTTATTCCACATTAATAAAACGAACTACTATCACGTTGAACCCAGATGTTATAAAAATAATTGTAGCAGTAAACAGTCTTGATTTTAAGGTTAAATTGAGGTCTAATATCATAAAGCTTCGAACATTGGTAGACGACAAAAGACGCGACATGAGGCACAAGGTCACGCTTGTTAGCGACAAGCAATCGTCAAATAATTTAAACATATTTTTGTCTAGCTTAGAATTTGTGGGTTAACAACAAAATATTACCGTATTATTTCTATATTGAATGATTGTATTGTAATTTATGCCTCGTTCGTTATTTAAATGTAATTTATACTACGTTTAAAATATAATAATTGATCCAAGCTATATCTGGCATAATCTAGTGTTTAATTTACAGTATAGAGGTAATTAATTGAACAAAAAAACATTCACAAGTACAAAGAGAGAAGTACAATGAAAATAAGTAAAACATGCTTCGTGACAATAACATTTTTGTCATCTAACGACTTTTGCGTGATACTTATTAGTGTTATGAATAGAGTGACATAATTCGAACTGGTTAAATGCACGAAAATAACAAAGGTCTAAAATTTAAGCACCTATATAAGTCGAAGTGTTGCGATTTAATTATTAAACCTCTGCGACATGCTGGTAAGTTGACTGTAAAAAATTTTTTGTAACACGGATTATTAAAATCATTCTTTCAGTCTCAGAATCATTGGTAAAATTCGATCAATATTCATAATCAAAGAAATAATTTATTTTTATTTTTAAATACAAATAATTTTATACACTTCTTTTCCACATTAACGTTAACTGTGTTAAATTTCTGGTTCACCTGTTATAAACATTCACTTATTAACAAAATGTCGTATGTTTTCAGTTTAAAGTAAGATATTTGGTAGCCATCATGGCATTATTTGCTTTGGTTGATGCCGGTAGGATTATTCGTTCTCCAGGTATTTATATTTTACTGTAATAGATTCGCTAATTTAAAGGTACTTACTGCTTCATTTCATTATGTACAATATCTCGATTTGTGCTAAGGCTTAGTTACTTTGGGGTCTAAATTTGGTAAATGTTTGAATTCCTTTCTAATAAGATACAAGGTCACTGTTAGTTCAGGAATCATGGGGTTCCATTATATTGTACTTTGTTTTGTTTCAATAAATTATATTTATTGTTTTAAACTGAAACTGGTTAAACTTCATAAGGCATATTAACTATCCTAACCTTGAAAATTGAAAACTATTTCAGGTAACCGTGGATGGGGCAGTTTTGATAGCAACCCAACAACCAATGCACGAGTGTCACCAGTACATGGATCTCTCGCTCGGTCATCTAGTTGGGAAGGGGCTACCGGCGCTGGTGTTCGAAGCTTCGGCAATGGATATGGTGCAGCGAGTTCTTTTGGCTCTGGATGGGATACCGGATCCTTAGGGAGGTCAAATAATGCTGGTTGCAATTCCGAATGGTGAAGATTTAATTGATAACTCGATAGATTTGATTTCGATTTCGACTTGGATTGTGGATGTATAAGCATATAATTATGTTAATTACCTAATAATTACTAACAATAAAGTTTTATAACACGATTTATTGTATTTTTTTTTAATTTACTGCATTAAATAATGAAAAGGAAGAAAAAGGAAATGATAATTATGTCGTTAACTATTATTGTATAATAATTTAATTATTATTACGAACATAAATACTTTTGTACTTGTATTATTGTTAATAAACTAATACAAACAAAACTACATATCATAAATAATATGAAAATCACAAAAGCGAAGTAGTAAAGGAGGGAAATGTTAAATTCACCTGGGATTTAACGAAGCAATGTATTAAGAGTATCGTTATGAAAACATTCAAAAATAAATTATCTGGTAATTTATCCTTCAGCCCGGATTAAGTAAAAGTAAAAATTCTGTCTATTTTCCATAGATTAAGTACGAATTTTTCTTTGAATCAAAACAATTCAATAAATTATAACATACGCAAATACTGTCTCTAAGGTAATTATGAGCCAATTTGTTGATGACGTTCGTTTGTTTTGTTGTTACATGGAAAAGGTTGGATGTGAACAACGCAACCTGCTTTTGTTGCTGATAGATTTTCATGTTTGAAAAGTAATTTCAAATTAGACTCTTACTTATTCGTATATTATTGTTTTCTGTTGCCTATGAATTATTTCGTGTCCAGTTTAAATCTAATATTCTATCTGAAGTCTAGTATTCACCTCCCCGTTTTGGTTACAGATTAAATTTGAAAAAAATCTCGAAAGACGTATTGAAAATTGCTTCCCTCTATTATCAAAAAATTCTGCTGGAAAAAATATCCCTTATAGAAACTTTTATCCCAAGAAATGTCTTTCTGATGATGAATTTCATAAGATCCTAGCAAAAGCCCCAAATTTCAAGTCTGTAGGTCGCGGTACTTACCTTCAAGTTTACAGGCCGTAAATAAATATAATGTGATAATAAAAGTGGAAAAGTAAATAATACGAAACAAAAGGTATTCCATTCCTTATTATAACTAATTAGAGACACAATTAAAACTTTTGTAGAGTCAAAGTTTAAAAAATTGTAGTCGTAATACCCACGTCATTTGCTTTTAATACAAATGTTGTAGTCCGTAACAATTTTTATTATTCTTTATTTTTATTCAACATTATTCTCTGTAGTCTTATGAAAATTTCGTAATTCCTGTCTCGACTTATTACGTCTAAAACCAAGTTTTTTGATATTTTATTAGACGAATATTTAAAATGCGAATGTACATATTCAAATGAGAAAAAAAACAGCAATATTATATTTAGCCTTTTTTTAACAATGAAACTGGACAGAACAAAGAAAAGCCGAAAGTGGCTACTACATGCAACATAGTAGTTAAATTGCCCCGACTATTTCTCGACGGAGAAATTATTTCTTTGTTACTTAACTCCGACGATACTTTCCGAACAGTGTCGATACTAATTTCTTATATTTCACCATTTTGAAATGCAAGCGTTTCTAAAGATTCGAGTAAGTTAAATATAACTAAATTTATTCATTAATATTTTCATGACCACGAAAGACATTTTCCATTGTTAAAGTTGAATTTATATTATTTTCCTCTCATAAATGTAAATTTGTAAGACGTATTGATTTTAATATTGAAATTGTCGTTATTTTACATAAATTTACATTAACTAATAAAAACCCTTAAATATTAACATAGCAAGGTTAATAATTGTAAGTTTATATAAATTTTAATTAATTAGATAAGAAAACATAACCAACGTGGGGACCCAAAATGTCCAGAATTAAGAAAAAAGAAAGATAATACTTTGGTGACTCTCGTTTGGAAATCACTAAGAAACGCTGGTTTGTTTATGGATCCAATAACGGGCGGAGTACACTGGCTAGCCAATGTCGCAGCAGCTATTTTCTTTGTCGCTACCAGTTTGCAAGTTGTTGAATTGATTCTTGCTAAAGACGATCCTAAACACCTATTCGAATGCTTCAGCGTTCTCTCATTTTGTAGTATGGGCATTATTAAATTAATCTCATTACGATGTGACGGTAAACAATGGCAAAACCTACTCAAAGAAGCAGCGCAACTAGAAATAGACGAATTAAAAGAAGAAAGGAACCCATCAACCGTCGAATACGAATCTGATGATGAAAATGATTTTGCTATATCAAAATATACTAGTCGTTATAACAAATCTTTTAATTTTACATTTACATTGTTATCGAGGATTTACAGTTTTACAGCTGTAATATATATTGTGTCTCCTTTTATTCAATACACACTGTGGCAAATGAAGGGACAGAATAGTGTCGAGTACCCACATATTCTACCGGTATGGGCTCCATTCGCTGATATGAATATGTTTTGGTACATATTAAGCATTGGTCTAGAGACTGTGGCTGCGATTTATTGTGTATGTGTACACATCGCCTTTGACCTTACTATAGTTGGTTTGATGATATTTATACACGGCCAGTTCTCTCTGTTGCACGCCAAGAGCGAACAAATAGCCGGCAGCGGCAAAGCTTGTACTTTGAGGAGAGCAAGAGACGAACGAGCACATATGAGGATAAAAAATTGTCATCGTTTTCATATAGTACTTGTTAAGTAAGTATTATCTTGAAACTAGCAGTCGCCTGCGACTCCGTCCGCACGGGATTAAAAAAAACATAATTAGTAGCCAATGTATAAGCAACAATCGAAATGGGATAAGTGAGAGCCCAAGGGAATGTGATATTTTTCTTATTTAAAACGGTTTCTCGTTTACTTTTTGTGGATCTCTACTGCAGTGACACTTGACCATACTTATATTATTCTTTTACAGAAAATTACAATACAAGTGTACATTATAAACGCACAGTAAAAAATAACACAACATTTGCATACAATCGTATTTGCTTAAAAATTATGTTAACAAAAACATGCGCCTCATTGTTATCTTCTAAAAATCATTGTATAATATATTAATAAATAGTCTTCGATGTTCTAGATTTTTCTATATTATATTATTTATAAATTATTACGAAGTTAGTATTCAATAGAAGTACAACCTTTAGTTATATTTGATTGTTTTCACAGCTTATTAAAACAACTTAATCAGTTGACAAAGAATATTTTGGGCTTTTATTTCTGGTTGGCGACAGTCACATTGTGTTCCGTCGCGGTGCAACTTAAATCTGTGAGTAAACAATAAAAGTACACGTACTTTTACCTTTTACTCTACATTACCGAGAATTTCAATATCGTTTCTTTGTTTCTTGCAGGATTTGAGCACCACACAATTAATATCCTTACTACAATATATGGGAGCTACACTCACACAACTTTTCCTTTATTGTAATTACGGCGACGAGGTTCTAAATATGGTATGATCATAACATAATACGAGTACGTGTAATTTTAACAGTGGTAGACTCCAGCCAGACATGTTTTGCTCAAGGCCGGCTCCACCGGTAATATACCACGACTACACAGAAGACAGGCATGAAGTGGAAGTAATTCCGGATTTCTTCTGATAAGGTCTCAATTTAAATCTTCTATCCCCCCTTTCTTTTAAGAAAAAAATGAGAAGGGAAAGTTGATTAAGATAAAAAAGGAGCATTTTGCTATGTTGATTATGATTTATTCCTTGAAATACTCTAATTCAGAATAAAACTAATTTATATGATTAGAGCTCAGCTGGAACGGGCAGGGGTCCTGCGGGTTCCGCGTGGTGGTGCCTTAGCCCCCGCGTGCGCAAAGAGCTGCTTCTCCTCATGATGGGTATGTCGCGTTGCTATCAGCTACATGCCGGGCCGTTCTGTTCACTGAACTTACCGTCTTTTATACAGGTGAGTTCATTAGAATGAACAGTTTTTTTATAGTAACGTCATCATTGCAGCTGTTAATCTTCATCTTATTCAGTTGAAAGTAGTACTTATATACCTTAATTAAGTTCTAATGTAAAAGTGTAATTTTTCAGATTGTCCGCACAGCATATAGCTATTACGCAGTGCTCCGGCAAAAGTCTACATAAAAATAGAAGTTATCACAATCTGCACTAGACAATTTTAGTTCTGAAAACATTTATTCACGAAAAATAAAAAGCGACAGACAAAAAAGATTCGCTAGGGTATTCTAATATACAGAGAACTGTATCCATGTCCACTATGCTGTTAATGCACCTTTAAATGTCACTGTCAGATTATGAACTTGGATCATTTAATAACCCTACTAGTCATTTAAAAAAAATGTGACCTGATCAATGTATTTGTACAATCTGACGTTAACGTATATTATAATGCAAAATAAACATTTACGTAGTATATTAATTTTTTCACTATCCTAATGACTATTTCGTCTATTTTATTTAATTTCCTTAAATTAATTCTTTAATTCGTAATTTGAAATAATAAAATGAATATTTTAAATGTTAAAAAAACTATTTCCCTAGTCGTATACAATGTAAGGAAATGCTTATTCATATTCCAAACATATCTCACTAATATTTTAAATAAGAAACTTTCGATGGATGTTTGTTTGAAGGGATCTCCAGAACGGCTGCTGGAACCTGCTTGAAATTTGGCATAGATGTTCATAACTGCCTAGAAGAAGACATAGGCTACTAAGTTTTTTAATTCTACGCGGACAGAATCGCGGGCGTCGGCTATCGTTGGAATATGAATAAATGATATTATTCGCTTCAATAAGTCAATTGTCGAGATTTTTACAAATTTAAAACAAAACCAGCAATAAACACTTTCTTTTGAAACGGAATCAACGACTTGCATATGTGATAACTTATCGATATATCGATCTTGGGGATATATATGATGAGAAAAAAAAACACCAAAAAACAAAATACATTCGTTATTTATTATACATTTACAAATTAAGAACTTGACTTACAAACATTCCGAGCATCTTCTAATTCAATTGTTTTAAGAAGATTCGTTTTTCTCGGGTTCAATGACACCATAATTTAAAATCTTGTCTTTATTCATATACAAAAATACACCAAAATAAATGTATGGTGAAGTTAATATCACAATACACATTAATTTTTATCCTCAACGAGAATTTATGCACAGAATCCGCTAGCAAAGATGGCTATTACTACACAAAAAACTGCACGCGCAATTGTGAATTGCGTCTCTGAGTACCAAAGTCAAAAGCGTGTGCGTGTGTACTCGTCTTAGGACAAAAAATCGAAACACAAAAAGTTCTTTAGAATTAATACAATGTTGTAATTTGAATTTGCGTAAATTTCAAAGTTATTCAATATTAGTCACGACTATAGATAGAGGTTCTTAAATTTGTACTGTAATTAGATTTGCGTAGCATTTTAATAAAAATGTATACGCTATAAATAAAATTTGTTTTATGTGCGAATTGCAAAGTAATTATTGGACTGTAGTTATAGCAACTAAATGTGTTAAAATTCACTCATAAAATTGATAAAAAGGTATTATTTAAGACAGTTCATAAATTATCTTTAAAAAAGTAGAAAAGGGAATACATTTTTTTAAATCGCTAGAATAATAATTAAAATTTACATCGAACGCGACGCTAGCGCCAGCAAAGCTTTTAGTTTTCTTCCCATGATTGGTGCAATTTTACATTACTTGCAGCTGCGACGTACTCGAACTGAGGTCAACCAACAACTACAAGGTCGCGCGATTTAGCTAAAAAAATCCTTGTACCTATTTAAACATTGTCCTAAGTAAAAATATTATTTATAAATATTTCATTGGTTCATTTAGACATGTGCTTTAAGCCATGTGGCAACAGCCGGCTTCTGTGTGGCGGCCCAACGAATATTATTTCTAACAGTTTCGAGAGCTCTCTTCCTAGCTGACTCTCCCGCACCAGCCTCGGGATATTTCTTGAAAAATTCCTCCATCTAAAACAAGGAAGAGATCTAATATTGATAGTCATATTTCCAAAATTAAATAAAAAAATGTGTATGACAAGCAATACAAGCTTCTTGGAACGACTAAGTGTTAATAAAAGTAAAATTAAAAAAGAAGAAAAAAGTTATTAACAGCAAGACTTAATTACCAACTAAAAATTAAAAAAAAGATTATTAAGACGATCCAAATGAGCCCAAAATCGTTTTGGTTGTATCGTTTCATCCTAAGGCCACCTTCCAGCTCCATCATCAAATCAGCATGTTTGATAATGCATGTTTATCCTAACATTGCATTTTGATTTACTCATGTATGAAAAATTTTAGCTTAATCAGTAACCGGGAAGTGTTTTTTTTTTAATTAGCACGATTTGACGACAAACATCGGGTTGGGTGAAATTAAATAAAACAATGTAAAAATAGTGCCTGTTAAAATAAGTTGCCTTAATTGCTCCGCGGTTATTGACCAGTTAATATTGACAGACAATTGAAATCTATAGAACTTAAAATCTATATGTACTGTCTATTTGTTTAATATAAAGGTCAAGGTCAATAAAGAAATTCAACTAGCATTGCAGTAATTAAGAAGTTTAGTCAAGTATTAATCTTAAATTGTTAAAAAAAAATAATCTATTTACGAAGCTCTTCATTTATGTTATCGCAAATATGTTCAAAAGCAAACTGTTTACTGTTTACAATTTTTAAAATGGCACGTGTAGTATCACATTACAAATTTATAAGAACACAAATGTAAGGGACATTATTTAATTAAAATCTTTTAATTAATGTCTGTTTTTTATTACCTGAATCTAAACTTCATTGAATTGATAAATGTACTCTATCTGACCTCTTACTTTATAAAAGAAGGTAATTAACTAACGTATAAATTGTTATGTTATAATACTTAATGGCAAATCTTATTTACATTACGTAGTACAAGTTTTCTTTTTGTTTGGAGAAAGACATAAATGTATATGCTAATTACTCTATACTTTATGACAAAAGAGTCTTAAATCTATAATATTAAAAACGAATAATTAAGTAAAATATATTATTAAAAGGAGTCCCTTTAGGCAAAGTTCCGAAGATACTGGCAGCGTTCCCCCTGTGAATAGCTATACTAATTCTTTGTCCGAGGTTGCACAGGGAACCGAAGAGCTGGCAGCTCCCTGTGATGTCGATTAACTACAATTACAAACTCTTGTGACAAAATAAAACACTTTGTATGCCGAAAGCTATTGCAAAGATCTCGTAGATATAAAAAAACAGTGATTTTCACTAAATTCCTATACTACTCAACCGTACCCCTTTTATTTTCTTATCACACGAGTGTTTTACGTTTAACTGAAGGATAGATTGACTTGATAATTTAGTACACTATCAAACTCGTACATCTCATCTGATAATTGAGGTATACTACTATCCTATTTATAAAAAGCTTAGTTGCTTTAGAACAGACATGTTTAAGTAATTAAGTAATAGTAACAATTTATGCGCATATTCAACGTGTTAGAAAACAATAAATAATTATTCACAGGAATTGTTATTTACACATGTTAAATGTTTTAATGAATATTAAAATGAGTAACATCGACAAATATTACTCTGTCTTTAATTTTTTTTTAATTCAGACTATACCATAGAATTTTTCAAATTATTACACATAAGACATAGCCCTAAATGTTTAAAAAAAAGAAAACAAATAAGACACATACCTCTTGCAATTTAAGCGTAGTATCGAATGAGCTAGTGATGGCCGGCACCAGGCTGCCCAAATATCGACTGTTGAGAGTGAATCTATCGACAAGTTGTGGCCAGCGCGCGCGCACCTCGTCCCACACTAGCGCCGTGCCCATCGGGTTGGAACTTATGAACTGAACAACGTTCAAATAGTCCTGGCTACGGACATTGGATTCGTCCCAAGCTAGGGTTAAATATCTAGAACAAAACAATGAAAATTGAATATGTATATTATTGTTATAACGATTCAATAATGTCTAGTTACTGTCTATATTCTAAAACTTAGTATTAACTAACCAGGAAACAACAATTTCTTATTATTTCGATATAAATTAAAAATTCTACAACGAAATTTACTTTTTTTAATATACATTGCTGCTTGCTCGCGATTTCTTTTTATGATTTAAAATTTGATAAAATCGTTCGTGCAAATGTATTGTTAGGTTAGGTTAGGATAGGAATCCATGGAAGGGATCAATGCAGGAGCTCTCCCTCTCTCTCTCACGCATATAGTCTCTCTCTCTCTCACGCACATAGTCTTTCTCTCTCTCTCTCGTGTTGCTATAGTTAATATATAGTATAATTTTTACCTCTGCAGTATGGCCGCGTCCAACGGGGCTGCTAACGCATGCCTCAATTTGGCAAGCTCTTGAACGTCTTCCTCTTTCAAATAAATTTGAAACAATTTATCCCAATCAGATTGTGTTGCAGATCTCATACCTGACAATAAAAAAAAAACCTTATTTATTGTGCCACTTTATAACATTTTAATATTAATTTCAAAGCTGTATTTAAATTACCATAATAGTAAACAAAGTCTCTCAGATCGGGGTCTATGAGAACAGCATCAGATGTTCCATGGCTGTTCAAACTGCTCAAGAACAAGCCTCTTACTTTATCTTCGGCATCAGGCAGACGAAAACTGGTCGCCAACGATAATATCCTTGTACGTAACAGTCTGGAAATTTCAATATTAATAAATTGTGATTCAAGTTATATACTTAACAAATGCACACAACGGAGAATGGAAAAACAATGCTTAGAGAATGGAAGTTATCGAGAAGTTAACCTTACTTTATTATAATTTTTTAAACGGTTAAATTAATTATAAATGCGAATGTTTAAATGGATGGATGAACTTTGGCATACATATAGAGCATAGTCTGGAAGAACACATACGCTACTAACTATATTTTTTTAATTTCGCAGGGACAGAATCGCGAGCGACCGCTAGTTAATATATTAAAAAAACTTGTAGGTGAACTAACCCTTCTATAACAGTAAAATTACTTTGCGTCCATGTCTGCTCACGATAAAGTGGCTCCACTAAATTTTGTACATATTTCTGAAAAAAAAAACAAAAATGAATGCTCCGGTGAGAGTCCACTATTCAATTCTAATATATAATCTACTGTTATCAGTATTGCTATCTCTCTTATTTTCTTTAGCAAAAAGAGAGAAAACAATACATTACATGATATTGAAATTCCTTCTTAAAAATTACCTGCAAGTCATCATAAATTTCAGAGTTAAGTAATCGCGAAGATAATTGTGCAAATATAGAGGCCGCGGTATCCCAAGGCACGTAGTCCTTTTCCACTGTAAGGTAAGTAGTCAGGTTCAAAGCCAAGTCGTAAGGCAATAATCTGGCTTCTGCTAACGCGAACACGTCATTCAGAAGATGGGCACGATCAGATATGGTCAGCTGGAAGATAAAGGATAATTTTTGTTTTTTAAACTCTTTCATTCATATTTCCTCTGTTTATTTGAGTTATATCTAGTAATTTAAATGACATATTGTTATTGGACAGAGCCAATATTTGTAACACATCTTTAGTTTTATGAAAATACAATACTATATTTAAAAAACGTTTAAAATAGTTATTTTTTTTTAATTAAAAAGAATAAAATGCAACACAATGCGATTTCATGGATCAATTTATAGAAAAATGAAATTAATTATTAAATTACTTATTTACCTGTTCAGATTTATTTTTTAATTCATGTATTAATTTGTCCCACATATCGACTGGATAGTTCACTCTGTAGTAACCCACTTGATTGTTATTTATTTTAATCCATTTTTCTCCTTCTTTTAGGTGAAGCTTTACTATAAACAAAATGACAGTTTTAAAAACAGAACAACTCTCACTGTTACTTTTCAGTGTACATTAACATATTGTTGTCTCTATTCTTTTCAAGGGGAAGGAAAGAGATAACACTATTTTTGTCCATGTGTATCGTAAAACTATTAGTTACCGTTATCATCTTTGTCAGCAAACCATAGTACTTTGTGATATTTTCCCTTGTTTGTTGTGTATGTGATTGGTACAAACCATCTGTAACTGTAATATTGTATTACGAAACGTTGGTGTCTGAGACCAAAATATCTGTATTAAAATATATCGTCATCCCTATCATTACCATTGGCAAAACAGCGATAACAATATGTTTTGAATGAGGATTTTGGTCTCAGAAACCCACGATATATAAGGAAAATAATACGACATTATAAGTAAATCAATTATGAATGTTTCTTTCAAAATAATTGAGGCTGGTATGAATTTTGTTAAAGACTCAAGTAAAACTACATTATTCCAACATTTTAAGGCAATATATTTGTTATAGTAGAATTGTTTATTACTTTAGTTAATTTTTAATGGTAATTACTTACTTAAATTGTGAATCGTCGTTTTGTATCGCATCAGGATCGAGTAAAAATCGTGTTTGAGTCACAACAAAAGTGTTAGGTTCTCCGCTGAATTTTACATTTAACACTGGATAACCCATTTGTTTTATCCATGTATCCATAATATAACTGAAGATAATTAATAAAAATTAGACTTTTGGTACAAATTGATAGACTATTTGGAGCTGCATATTTATTTTGTCAAGAAAATTCATCTAAACGGGACAATTTTTTTACTTTTTTCACTAAAATATAGTTGTTATTATGCCAAGTAGTCCAGAAAATTATCAATTATTTTATAATATTTATAAAGAACTTACGAAAGATTTAAATTTGGATTATCCATTTTAAAGTAGGGTTCCAAAGACGAGAGCAAGTCTTGTGTCACAGTGTTGCCGTATTTATATTTCTTCAAATAGTCAGATATCCCACGTCGGAAATTCTCCTCGCCTATAAAACCTTCTAACATCCTAAGTATGGATGAACCCTAAAAAAAAATAAAAACAAAAATATGACTCGTCATAAAATATAACAGTCCAATTATTTCATAACTATCTGCTGCCCGCGTCTCCGTTGCATAAAATTAAAAAAGACTTAACAATAAGCCTATGTGTTCTTCCAGACTATGTTCTACATTTATGCCAAATTTCATCAAGATCCGTTCAGCCCTTCTGGATTTTGCCTTCTAACAAACATCCATCCAACAATCTAAACTTTCGCATTTTTATTAGTACCAAGAATCATTGTTAACTCATTCATATTATTTTTTAACAAGAACATTTTTTTGCTTACCTTATTATATGATATAGCATCAAAAATGGCAGTAATTTGATCAGGAGTCTCCACAGTTTGTAAAATAGGATGACTTGACAGTTTAGCATCGGTCACCAATACTGAGTGCAAAGTTTTTGTCAAGAATTGATCCAACTGAAATGACGCAAAAATAACAATTAAAATCTATATGAAACCATAATATCATTAAAAATAAATATATGTTTTTTACCATAGTCCATGAAGGTTCAATAGCATTTAAAGCTTTTACTTGCATGTAAGAAGCAAAACCTTCATTGAGCCAAACCTCATCCCACCACTTCATTGTGACTGGAAATATAAAAAGTTTTATTAAATAATATAACGAAAATCTTTCACAATTTTCATCTTAATTAATTACCAATATCTAGCAGATAATCACTACTTTTGTTTGCTTATTTATCTATTCAGATGTTTTAAACAGAAAGAAGCAAATTTTCAAACAATAATTCTAAAATTAAACCTCAGCTAACCTTATTATATAGTGTAAAAAAACTCACCTAAATTACCAAACCACATATGTGCTAACTCATGAGCTATTGTGTTTGCAACACTGATCTTATTCTTGGAGGATGCTGTTGACTGATCCACGAGAAAAGATGTTTCTCTATATGTTATCAAACCCCAATGTTCAGTTGCTCCTGACACATAATCAGGAATCGCGATCATATCTAAAATATATATAAAATATGAATTAATTTATAAAATATTATGAAACTTATCTTACTAATGTTATAAATGTGAATGTTTAGATGGATGGATTTCGCTAAAATTTGGCATAGATGTAAGACATAGTCTTGAAGAACACATAATCTATTTATTAAGTTTGTTTTTAATTCCGCGAGGAAAACGTCGCAGGCAACAACACCTAGTACAAAAACAAACTTGAATTGCACATCGAATTTCAAAAATGTTTTCATGTTATTGCAAACACCATTATTTAATTTAAACTTTTAAAACAAAAATGTATGACCATCCCTCTTATTCTACAAAAACTTTGATATAATGGCTTCACTCACCTAACTTTGGCAGCGGGAAAGGCACTTCATAATATTTTATATAAAATTGTGTAGCTCTTGTCCCAATATCCTGTGCAAAATCAATTTTGTGCATTTGATTTTTTTGAGCAAAACTGCGCAATTTAAAATTGTTTCCAATACCATCGGCATCTATCTCAGTTTCCTTATAATCAAAATCACAAACAACAAAACATGCCAAGTATGTGGACATTGGTACACTAGTTGCAAATGTCACAGCTTCTGTGTTTTCATCTTCACATTGTGTTTTAGATATTTCCTGAAACAATTATTGAATGATCACCATTAAATCTAGATCTAGGACCTGTGTTAAATGGGATATTTGTATGGGGCAATCATTTTTATCTGTCTTTGCTAAAAGAGTCAATATAAACCAACAAAGACTGACAGATTAGACTAATTTAGTCCCGTTTCCCTTCCCACCCTTTTTCTTATAAGGAAAGGATGGGAATTGGAAGTGGACTTTCCAGATGAGAGGATGCATGGGAAGGAAAAATATTTTCTTTCTGTGCATCCTTTCTTCCATTGATTAAAGCAATTGCGTATGTCTATGGGCAACGGTCACTTCGCTATTTCAGCGATTTTAGGTGGCGGCTTGCTTGTTTGCCACCTAATGATATAAAAAAAAGATACACAGTAAACAAGACAACTAAAGGTAATCTAAATATGAGACTTCATTATTGGATGTCTTAATTAAGTCATTAAAAGAAAAGACTTTATTTTCTCTCCAAGTATTTCATACTTGGACTCAGTTTTTTGAGATATTTCGTCTTTTAGTTTATATTTAATTAAATAAAAATAGTATAACTTACATTCATGTTAGAAAGAGCTACATAGGAGACTGGTTTAACTAAAGTAATATCATATGTTGCTTTGAAGTCGGGCTCATCAAAACATGGGAAAGCTTGTCGAGCATAAGTTGGTTGAAATTTACTTGCCACCATGCTCCTGAAAACATTTCAAGGTTTTTTAAGTTTCTTTTATGTACGTGTGTTTCTTATTACCTTATCGACAATGTAAATATTGTTGTATTATAAAGAAATTAATCATTCTAAAGAAAAAGATATTCACCTTTTATCTTTCAAATGAGATAAATAAAATCCAACAATATTACGAGTTAAATCACCAGAGAAATTGATATGGATATTGTATGTACCAGAACTTAAAATATCATTGAAAAGAATGACAAGTTGTTCCAAATGTTTCATTTCTATCCATTTCTGTATAGGTAATTCCTCTCCATTTTTGTACACCTTCACAGATTCTATGTTCAAAAATTTTGTGTGCAAGCTTAGATGATTGCTTTGATGTTTAGCGATAACATCAATTTTTACGTTCCCTTGGAAAACTCCAGTATTAAGATTGGGACTAAGGAGTAGCCTGTAATGAGCTGGACGGACTAATGGGGACAGTCTTTCAGTTTGAGCAGTAATCGGTACATTTTCCATTATCTTTGTTTTGGTATAATTCCGTTTAATAGAACAAAACAATAAGCGGTTCAATTTTAAAATTGATCGTAATGCAAGAGATCTTGATAGCATCGATGTACCAAGGTTTGTCGATAAAAAGCTTAAAAAATCCTTTTTTTATATAAAACTACGATTTTAAAACTCTGCACTCTGTATTATTTTCATTTATCACTTATCAGCTTATCACACAAACCATTTTTATTATGACGTTTTTGTCGGAGTGACAAATGACTGACAGAAGCAAAGATAGAATGACAAGCGGAACAACAGGAGCATGATTATGGATTATTGTCATAGATAACTTTTGGAAATTGTCCCTGCACATCAATAAAAAAGACAAATACACGAAGGGGTTATTAATACATTTTTTTCATTGTAAGTTAAAGTCATGTTTCTTTATACCTTTACAGAATAAACCGTCATCTTTCGAAAATGGATACATCAGTTAACGAAAATCTTTTAAACCAGCCGATACCCGCAATTTCGTCAGCGGGGAATAAAAAAAAAACTAGTGATAAATATAGCCCTATCGGGGATAGTGAATCTTTCGAGCATTCAAAGAATTTTTCAAATCGGTTCTGTAGTTTCGGAACCTGTTCAATGGGAAAAAAAACAATCAATAAATAATTCTCCTTGTAATATTGATATAGACAATTATAAAATAAATTAGTACGGGATGCTCACTGATTATTTGATTATTGTAACTGATTATTTGTAACGAAACTCTGGTATCAAAGATTGTTTACGAACATGCAATTGTTTAACTTTCTCTTTTATTTTATTTATTGCGATTTTGACTTGATGTATAATGTAAACTGCACATGCAATATGTTCATTAGCTTCTTTTAACTTTCATTGTAAAATACGTCAAATCCTGATATGTGAAAGTTAGAGTAACTATAAAAAGAATTCGTGATTTATTCAATATTTATGTTAATAATAAATATTTTTTTTTAATTTACTGGTCGTTTACCAATGACGTTCACACAATAAATTAGACTTTTACTTACCCGCCAGTTTTAAGAGAACTTGCGTAGAATCCAACAATTTTCTTATCCAGAGTTCCCGTAAATGTAATGGATAGAACTATCTTCTTTTGTTTTACTTCATTTTCTAAGTTTATTTGTAACATTTCATTATGGTATGTATGTTCGACAAAATCCTCAATAATCGCATTTGCATCGTTTAGTAACTTCACATTATGTATTATCAAATCCTTAGCGTGCATTAGTATTGTTTTCGTCGATTCTTGAACTTGAAGGAGAATAGAAACATTTCCTTCGAATGTTTTATTGTTTATATTTGGGGCCAAATATAGTTTGTAATTTAACGGTTTGACGTTTCTGGGCAGTCTGTTATGATTATTCTGTAAAAAGGAAAACAAGCAACATAAGTAGGTTCTTACAAAGCGCATCAAAAAGGGAAAAAAGGAGAAACATACATGATTGCGTCAAAAATATGCCCCACTTATAAAATTGTTAATTCCATTTATTAATTTCAATTGTCATCTCTCATGACAGTAAAAATAATGTTAACAAAGATTTTTTATTGCCTAAAGGAACAGAATAACAAATAAAGATAGATTTTGCATATTTACATTTCCTTTATCAATGGCAAACATAGCTTGTGTCAGCGATTGCAATCAGATCCTCAGAACGTCGTCAAAGCTTATAAGAGATAAAGTAGAAGAGTGAAATCTTTGATTGTCAAATCCTACATAATTTACCTTAATTTATTCACATAAGTAAAAGCAGTGCGTCTACACATTATTTTTTTATCATTAATATCAGTATGCTAACTGTATTAGCAAAAACTTACTTCAACTATTAAAGAATTCCATGCGGACATTATTTGATCATTCCTTAAATTATCCGATTTAATAATCTGTCTATGTATAGGAGTGTTATTTTTCTTGGAAGCGAGTACTATAGTTGACACGAAGAGGCAAAATGTGGTCGTTGCCAGTATCACGATTATTTTGTTGTGCCATAACCACTCTAGTATGTTTATCTTCATCTGAAAAACATAGCCGTTTTATATTAATACTGAAGAAATGTTACAACAAATACTTAATCGATAAATACTTAATCGTCCAAATATAATATTATAATTTCTACAAACCATTGAATGCATGGCTTGAACAAAATCTGTTGTAACTAACTAGTGCTGATTTGCTCTGGATTAATGAAGAAACAAACAAAAAAACATTTGAACACAATGCTAGTATTTTTAAATAACGATCATATCATTAATATGAAATAATGTGCATATATTTTTATTTCCCATCTTCAGACTAATACTATTCATAAGTTGATGATTACAAAAGATTCAGATCGGATTTGGCAAAAAAAATTGGAATAGTAACTATCGCACATACAACTTTCGCCTTTTTTCACGCGATAGGCGTGCACTACTTTCTAAATAATTATATCTTGACTGTGCACGTCTAATTAAATTATATAACTTTCCATACTTATAATTATTACTATAGGAGTTACAGCAAACTTCCAACATCGATAAAAAATTCTTACTAAATCCTTAGCGCGCGCCTAACTTAATAGCCCAACAACTCTCAGAGAAAGAACACTATTCTATCGACAAGGAAACAGATTGTTACTTTCGTAAGAACGTACATATGTACAACCCCAAGTATTAACATAAAGCCGCGGTAAAATTATACCGTCTTTTCAGTCAGACAAGAATAAAACATAAAATTTTGCTACAGTTAAATACACCATAAGACGTGAAGAATAACTTATTACATGCTTAAGTATAAAACCTGGTAAATTCTTCTTCAGACTCGCATTAATCTGTGTTCAATATTATAAAATTAATGGCAATAAACAATGTACAAAGTATTACTATGTAAATATATTTTGTTTGATGTTTAAATATGCAGTAATTAAGTTGCAGGTATTTTTGTCACGTATCACTATGCAACAGTTGCTACAAGTGAAACTAAGAATTCTGTTCCATAATATCATTGCAAAATATAAGCTGTTTATAAGTTATTAATTTATTCAATTTGAACGCATATACACGTGTTTTTGTTATTGTCCCAGATTATTTCAATTCTGTGCTACATATAAAACTTTAAATATAGTCAGTGACATTGATACCTTTTTGAGACAGAAGTGATAGAAAGATTGAAAAACACGATAAACAAGATAACTTTTTAACTAATGTTTGGATTGGTTTAATAGTTTCAAACAACATGTAAGTACAAATTTTTCCTTATACCTAATATTAGTATAAGTTACATACCTTCAATCGTTTTCCTTTCACTTAAACCTGAATAAATCTCGACAAAATCGATTAATAATCACGAATTCAAAGCCCGCACAAATATAATCCAATCAACTAGGGTAGAACGACATAAAAATGTTCTTCATCTACCTTACACTATTAGACATCAACTGAGGTCTTGGTAAAAAGCAATAGCTACAGCTACAGGTTACGACATTACTTCGCCGTTTCACTCGCGTACTACTTTGGACTTCTGCAAGATATTATTGTGACCATGAATCTACGAGGAAAAATTCCCGACAATAATTATCGCATTAATATGCAGTTAAGAGGAAATGTGACTTGATACTTAACTTATTCTGAATACATAGAAAATTATTAAATATTGTACATTAATAATAATGAATTTAGTAAAGGTTATATTGACCATTTGTTTGAATTAAAACAAGGCGCGTTCACCAATTTATGTCATCGAATTTTAAGTGCTTTTCGATGTCACGCGGTTTTCCAGAGACTAAATGATAGGATGATGTTTTGATCGATAATTTCTATTAATACTTACGACCCTATAAATCTTATATCGTTGCAGAATGCAGCTCCCTCCACTAGTATTGTTTTTTATGGTCACCGTAAATTGCAATCTGATTACAAACACTTCATTTGTTATGGCTTGCAATTGATCCAACATCGTGATACAAATCTAATCACAAATTCACAATCGTTTACAAATCTTCCAACGTATAGTATTATTTCTTTGGAATCTTGGATAGCCGATAAAATGTTAATAAATCTTGTAGTTATGTTGTCTTTATGTTGAGTTGAATCCCATGTGTTGGTATTATAGGAGTTTTCTATTAACTTAGTATAGTGAACGTCAAAGAAAAAAAAACGTTCTTCGCACCCACAACTAGCCAATAACAATAAACACCTTTTCAAAACTCGTTCACATTCGTTTCTTTTTAGCTTTCCAACATCTTTCACGCGACGTTGTGTTTTTTATTCATAGTGAATAATTTATTTACAAGTATAAAAACATTTATTATTTAAAATGATTAATGTTATTATCTTACTTACTATCTTTCTAATAATATAATATTTCGACGGATAGACGGATCGATGGATGTTTGTTTAAAGGTATCTCCAGAACGGCTGCATGTATCTCGCTTAAATTTCGCATAGATTAAGAACAAGCAGAGCAAGCATCTTGAAGAGCACATATGCTACTAATTAAGTTTTCTTTTTAATTCCGCGCAGACGTAGTCGCGGGCGACAGCTAGTACTTATATACAACAAACATACAAACATCACTTATTATCACTTTTTATCGACAGGTATCGGTGAGGAATCGAAATACTAAAAAGTATTAATATGTTAAACAATAAATAATAAGAAACATACTTTAGAAATTAATTTTATTAAGATAACTATTGTTAGAAATCACAAATGTATAGTAATAGTATTGACTCGATTTGGTAGCTAAAGTGACTTAACATATACATTAAGAAAGTTCATATTTATACAGTAACTAAGTTATAGGAAGAAAAGTAATAAATGCAAAGATTCTCAGTACCGAATACAATAAAGAAAAGTTTCCTCGTTTACATTAGATTTTATAAAATAATAATACAATGTGAAATCCTTTGAAGTTTGTAAAATTTGTACCAAACCTTTTTTTTATTTGAAGCATCTGAAATTGTACAACTATTTATATCTTACAAGATCTTTTTTGAGAGATTTATTACATAGAGATGAGATTGGATCTATGTACTTAGAAATAGAATAAAAAACTAAGCAATAAATATTAATCAAAATTATTCGTTTTCCTCATTATTCTAGTTATATCCACATTTTTTTTCGTTAAACACTTGTAAGTACTTACTAATATACACAAAATGTTTCCAACTTAAATCTAATAATTTTCCATGAATATTGAATTTGGGTTACTCAATAACGTAGACTTTGTTGTTGTTCTCATAACAAAAATTTCCAAAATTAAATTTTACGTATTCCAGTTTTACGATAGATATTGGATTTTTCCCACATCTATTCAAATATTAGCTTTCCCCCAAATTACTTTTACATAAGATAATTTAAAATTAACAAAATAAATAACTATTACTAAAATGACTTTGGGATGTTATTATTTATATCTATTGCAACTATATAAATTTAATTAATGTAAGCTCCATACTCGTGCATACTGTTACCATGGTAACCATAATGTACATTCGCTATTTCAGCATCCCTGCCTTTAAACGAATTGCTGTTCTTAAATGCATTCAGCAATATAAGACCTATGGCTAGCTTTCCAACCATTAGACTCTTGAACAACATGAACTTAAGCATACTTAAAAAGAACGGAACTATAGCTGATTGTATTAAAAACGGCATGATGAACATCGGCAGCAGCTTTTCCAATAGCTTTTTCGATTTAATCTTCTTTCCACGACCTGAAACAAATGAGCACAGACTATTTTATTTTCTTGAACATAACCTAACCTAACATTTTAACATAATCTAAAACTTTTATTTTATTAGTGTCTTTTAAAACTTAAGACTGCATAAGAAGAAACTTTTTATCTAGTTCACGTAAATGTAATTAGCTATTTATTAATTATAAAAATATAATAAAATTTTACTTATAATAGCCGAAAGCGAAAAAGGAATTTGCTCCCACAAACAATGCCATTTGCGACATTCAGACTTTTTATAACAAAAGAAATGAGATACTTTCTTCGAACCAAACCACACGCTACTTAATACGTATACGAGTGAGTTTCATACATTAAACAAAAATAAAATACATTCAAGAATTGAGAGACTAAATGTGAAAGTATTTTGATACAATGTTTATAAATTGCTTCATTTTCTAAAATGGTCATTGTAATATTATTTCATGCCTTAGTTTTTGCAAAGGTGACACATTCCTATGTTTTTAAAATTTAAAATACAAATATTGTTAATTGTGCGTTGCGTTTGCTTTTAATGCGCTTAGATCTGAAATATGTTGCCTCTTTTGTGCTAGAAAATTATACTGCTACAGTATTTTGATTAACATTTTTGTCGTTACTTTGGCAGTGCAACGTTTAACCAGTTGAATAGTGTAACCAGATCAGTGATTTCCATTATTTTTTCTTTTAAACCTTCATTCAAAATTTGACTTGTTCCATAGAACCTTTTCTTTGCTTCATTTCTAATTCAATATTATTTCCCGTCATCCTCCTAACTAGTCTTCCGGAGCCCCTAGTAGTTTCTGGACCACTTTTGGAACCATTAAGGTAGTTTGTTACGTAATTATCAGGTGAAACATTTTACCATGGTCAGCTGTTTATACAGGTTAGCACGCCTTCACTTTCTACCGATTTCAATCTGCTCGGTCAATTTAACCAGCGCTCTTATTTCCGTTAGATTGTAACTGTGATCTAGAAAACTTTTGATATCATTATTCTTGTTTACACTTGCTTCGTTTCAACACATTCGTATAATAATTACAATGAATATTGCTTAAAACGCGTATTTTTGTTAAATCTTTTACTGAGTATAATATAATTTTGAGGTTAATTACAGAACAAATATAGGTGTTTCTAAACGTTACATATAATATACCGTAACTAAAGAACAATGTAATAGTATGCAATTAAATTGCTATATAACCATTATATGATTCTCTAAATTTGTATTTTAAGTAACTATTTTTGTTGATATGTTTGTTATTGCGTTATGAATAAAATTTATTGTCGTTTGAATTAATATGTAATAAATGATGCAAATTGTAACTTTCTAAATTGTAAATAAGTAGTTTGAAAAATATGAATATTTAATTTATTTATATTCACATATATTATAAGTTATTACGTAAAATATCTCGTCGCTCACGTTAAAAAAGTTTGTTTTGAGTTTCTTTTACTACCACTACTACTAGTTTAGTAAGGATATTATTGATTCTAATAAAAGTCGAAAATATTATCTACTTTTCAATCGTAACAATAAATAGTTATGTTATATCATAATCAAATGTCTCGAGTGGTTTACATAAGGCGCCTGTTCATGCTGACTAGCACTAGTTGTCATTTTTGAACTATTAATGATTTGCTACTTCAAATATTACGCTAATTTTGCTCAATATATTGAACAGTTTTAAATCTGCTGCAGATAAAAAATAACAATATTATGAAGCATGTTACACTTTTCCTGATACAAGATATATTGTAACTTAATATTATCAAAAAGGTCCTCCCTAAGTTTTATTATTTGGGGGTTGTTTTGTAAGCCAATCGTTACTTAAATTTTATACTTGGCCATCGCTCCCAACTCCTTTAGGTCTTTCAGCTGACAAAAGCTTTAATAAAATGGAGTAAGTTTGCATACCATGGGATCTTGGTCTATATTAAAAGCAATGTCATGATTTCCAGCAGGGAATGATTTTTAAATAAAATTAATATTCTAATAAATAAATAAAACTTACTGACCTGTTTCCAACTCCGAATCATCTTTTGTTTGAATTTCGAATGAGACCAGTTTATCCGTGTCATTCCCTTTTGGCACTGAGACATATACACCATCGTACACTTGAACCTTTTTCACGTTATCATCCTTTTGTGAACTATCGAGTCCCGAAACCGAGCAATATGTTAGAGATAGAAGAAATAACGTGAAGATACAAGAAAATCGAAGCGCGTGCGACGCGTTCATTTTGCCTGTTACTTTGCAAGTGCGAGCCGGACACAATCTCCCTACTCCCCACTGCGACTATTTTACCCCGTTTCTAATCTAGTTTTGTTAATAGTTACAACAATGTTATTTATCTTACTCTGTATTCATTTATAGTATATATTTAGTACCAGTATTATACAATGAAAATTAATATTCAATAGTGTTGATCAAAGACTAGGCTAGGTGTTGGGGATTTATAGTAGTAATAAAAATTCCCTATTTTATAACGACAATCAAGTACAATACAAATATTTTCTTACAATATTACTTGTTTATGTTCCGATATCATAGCTATTAATATGATAAAATTGCTTTTCTCTGTAATATCTAACAATTTAATTATAAATTAAGTTTGTAAATTGTATGTTTGGGAATTTTAATTTTACAATAGATATCAATAATCTAGTTAATCACATTTTAAAGTAATAGTCTTTTGTTTTTTAAAGAATTTACGAATATAATTTAAATAAGATATACATTTTTATTCATCATACGACTGACTTTACACCCCGCATCACCATCATCATCATCATCATCAGCCTATACTAGTCCACTGCTGGATATAGGCCTCTCCCATGGCACGCCACTGAACACGATCCTCGGCCACTCTCATCTAGCTCTTGCCAGCTGCCCTGCGAAGATCATCTCTCCACCGAGTCTAAGGACGCTACGCTACGTTTGCCAATCGGTGGTCTCCACTCAAGAACTCGTCTACTCCAACGGTTATCGGTTCTTCGGGTTATATGGCCGGCCCATAACACCTCGCATACGGTATACCTATCGATTTATTGTAGTAATTAAGGATTTCTTACTTCACATGTTCACTTATATCTATTATTTTGTATTTGTTAACATGAACGAATTGTGTTAGTGTAGTTGTTTGGATGCGATAAAATAAGTGGGTCTACCTACCGACCTTTAAGTAACAATGACAGGTTTTTAACGGTTTTATATTTTTGGATTCTCAAAACTTAAGGAAAGTCTTTCAAAATGTGTTACGAAATTTTTATAGTAATTTGCTTAACGAGAGAAATTAAATTTTAAATATACATAAAAGCTTGTTATTCATTTTCACTTTCGCTTATTTAATGCGTTTTACTTGCTGGATTAATGTCTTGAAATATATACGATATTACACTTCGATCTTTCGTATTTCGGGCTAACATTTTAGGGAGTTACGCGTTTATGTAAGTTAAAATAATTATTGGATTATATAATAAATAAATAAAATATTGGTTAAAGGGATTGTGTACATATGATACACACGATAGTTTTTTTTTCAGTTTTTTTTTTATTTTAAGTTAACATTTAAATTTTATAATTAAATTATTAATATAATTATAATAGGATCGATTAAAAAACGATATTTACAATTTGTTTGTGTTATTTATTTTTAAATTGGGTTTCTGAACTCATACAAAATGTATTGTTATCCTTTTAATTCACTTTTTAAAAACAAATCTGTATGGCTGTAGAATTCAATTGATGAGCAACATTCGTTTAGGCATAGCTTTGGCCATAATTTATGGGATTCGAGAAAGCTTAAACTGGTTAGAAACTGATGAAAAATCTATGTACAGATATAACCTGTGGATCAAAGCAATTTATATAGCTTTCTCTTTTCTTAACTCATGTACCGTATAATAAGTGTATACTGTAAATTGAGATAATTAATATTAAAACAATAATTAGACGTATTTATTTTTTAACCTAAAATATTCTATACTAACCAAGTAAAATTTCTGTACTATTATTTGTATTGTTATAGCGATACGGTTGTTAAAAGTAGACTTTTATGTTTCCATTGCATTGAACTAAATAATGAGTTATAACGTGGGATATATTACAATGTAGGTAAAAGATTTAGAGCGTGACAAACTCGAGATTCCCCATTGCTATTGTTGTTATTACTAGCTATCGCTGTATTACCGCGAAACCGTTCTCGAGGAATTTAAAAAATAAATTATTTAGTAGCCTATGTGATTTTCCAGACTATGTTTTACATCTATGCAAAATTTCAGCGAGATCAGTTGAGCTGTTCCGAAGATACGTTCAAACAAACATCCATCCATCCATCCAAACATTCGCATTTATAATAGTAGTAGTCAGTTTATGAACTTCTATATTATCATTCAAAACTACAAGCCAATTTGAAACAACATTATTCTTATATAGTGAAACATTTTTTATTTAAAATAAAGATATTAAAAAGCAATAACAAAGTCACGGAAGCCATTCTCATGAGATTAAACTTTCAGTTCTTCATAGAAATCGTTATGTTGATGTTGCGTTGTTTTTTAATCTATGCAAATTTCTTATTGCGTGTGCGTCCATTTTTCACGCGTGCGAATATTTAAAAAATATTTCCATGTAGAACTCGTAACGATCTCTTAGTTCGACGAACTTAGAAAGTGAAACTGACAAGATTAATTTAAGTTAAGCGTCGCAAATTAATTTCATAGTGCGGTCATCAATCCCCTGTGTGGAGCAAATTATTATCAAAGAGTTAGGAACAAGTTTTAACAGAGATTGTTTGAACTTTCTAACTTATTTTATACATATACGTATACTCATGTAATTATTAATACTTATTAAGAGCGCCATTTTTTGAGAACGTACGAAAAATAAATAAAAGAAATGGAATTATTCAAATAATTTAATCCTTAAGGAGGTAGTTTTATAAATACACTTAATATACCGTCGTCTAACCTTCGCAAAATATTGTTTTGCGAGAGACAGACGAAGATCTTACACCTTACAAATGCATAAACATCTTACAACTAATCGTATACGGAAAATTATCGTTGATATGTTCTTTGGAGTATTACTTCTATTACAAAGTAATTACTTCGTTTAGAATTATTCCCGATTCATGTTTAGTCAGAGATGGTTGTGTCATCGCCAGATCTCGCCCATTGTGAGAGGAGGGGTCCCGAAGCCGGCCAGGGAGCAGGCGCTGGTAAGAGTTCAGCTCGCGGGTGCAGATGCAGTAGTGGAGATGAAGGTGAAGTCGCCGCGAAGAATAATCTTGAAGCAGCCTAGAGAAATAATTAACATTAATTTGTGAAATCATAATTTTCATCTCTTATAAGCTTACTGCTATCTCTGTCCTTATTCACTATATTTAGGGTCGGCCCAAAAAAAAGCCGATTTTTATTGTAAGTAGCTCCTTCTTTTTTCAAGATTACCTGACTGATGGCTACAATGAGCAGTATTACTCCAATGGCAAGATTCTTCACGGATATGACGGCAAGGGCTAGGAGCAGAGTGGATATAACTCCCAACGTGAACATCACGGGCAGGAAGATGAAAGATAGCCTCTTTAGAGCGGGCCTTCCGAACGTACGGCCGACGTCAATATCTGGAAAAATAAATAAATACATTATGAACATATCATTAACATTAAAGATATGTATTTTTCATTCAAATTGCAAGACTAGGTTCTCTGATTTTAAAATTACTTTTATTCTTTTTACTTTGCAATATTTTTCATATGACTTTCGTCTTTGTAGACTCCTTCTTTTTGATACATACTACATTTTTAAAAGTACTATTATTTTTAAAGAACATTACGCTGTAATCACGACTTCTTTCAATTCTTATTGATATTGATTTATTTCAGAAAAAGTAGCTAAGTAAATAAAAAAAATTAAAAAGAATCTTTGATAGTAATCCATAAAGTAAACGTTATTAGTACCTTGGCTGAAAAAACTGGGAACTCCCGATGTTTTCACATCTTCACTACATTGCACCACCGTGATAAAGATAGCCACGTAGGCGAGAGACAGAACACCGAACATCCGACACATTTTAACTGAAAATTAAATTTATTTCGAGCACCAAAAAATCGATGAAGAGCAGACGATGTCCTGACGATAACTGATGTTCATATGATCGAATGGCAGGATATAAAGTGTCCTACGGAAGACAATAGTCGGCGAGACCAAATAAAAACGTCAAAAGAAAGTACAGGACAACGTGATCGTGGTGTAGAAATTCCGACCCCGATATTGACACCGCTTTAGGACTAACGCCGAATCATTAACGGCACTACAACTCCTGATGGACATCGAAACGCTCCGATAGCAATCTAACATAGTACCATACGAATGAAAGTCATTGATTAGGTTTGTAGAACAATTATTAACATAGTTTTTGGAATTGATAATTATTAGCATGTATTCCATTATATTTACAAATTATTATTCTGTCTACGTTTATTTTATATAATGTCTTCTATTGTACTACATCAAAAAAGTAGAAAAGAATATAACCTCATTTAAAATAAGCTATCAGTCAACCAAGAAGCTATTGTGTAATTAAGATTAGGTAAAAAATAATAAATTTGCAACTTTTCTTTTCCCTCACTATCGTTTTAAAGTGCAAAAGCCAAGCATTCATCTGATCAATGCTCTTCCATTATATTACTTATCATTTTGTAATATAAAAAACTTATTAACACGAGTTCATATAACAAACATTACACAAATATGCCCATTGATGCTGCTTATATCTATCTCCCTAAGGACACTTAATGAACAAAACTCAAATATTTGTGATCCGTATTATTTCACCAATTAATTTGTTTTACTGTTATTCCGTCTCCAAATTATTTTAACAATTTTATAATGATAATTACAACACTGGATATTAAATAAATCTTTTAATCGAAGTATAAACTAGACAGTTTCAAAATTAAACATGTCTTGAAATTGTCAATTACGGAATTAAAAAAAAATACTTAGTAGCATTATACTAAAACCACTTCAAAAGAGTGTACGTCATAAGGTCTGCGTGTTCTTTTCAGCAATCACTTTTATTTAATGTAATTATATTGTTTTTCTAAACAAAACTGGCACTCCGTTAGCCATTATGTTATGTAAATACTTAGGAAATTAAAAAAAAAACTATCGACCGTCTGTCGATTTATATAAATTGAAAAAGATTTTAAAGGGAGTTTTAAATACACAGCTGAAAAACGAATCAAAAAATGTTCTCAATTTGGATTTGCGCAACTGTTGGATGAAATATTCTAACCGTATCTACCTCTAGTTCCAAAAGGAGAAAAATAGTATTTATGTACTTTTGCCTTTCAGATATAAAGCAAACAAAAATTCAAAAAAGGATGAGACTTGACGATAGCTCACGTGTTTATTGAACTGAACATAGACGCACGAATGTTCTGAAATAAAAGTAATCAGGGTTGATAATTCCTGATAGTACATTGACATAACAAGACTTGAGGTAAATAGTTTAGATACGAAACGACACCATTCATTCATCAAAGGTTCCTACTTGAGTAGAGTTATCTTTTTACAAATTCTTCAGCATTTCTTCTGATAAAAACTGGATTTTTATATACTAGTGCCAGGTAATTGAGGTTCATTTGTAATTGTAAAGCTTAGAAATAAGTTGATAAAAACATACTTGAAAGGCAAGCTAAAAGAAAGGCGTATAACATTATTCTAACAAACGACGTCTTGTGCGATTTACGCAATTATTATCTCTTCACTAATTGACAACGTAACAATTAAAAATAGAAATTTAATCGAATTACACGATACCAATCATCCAAACTTACACGCTGGGGAATAATTAGTGAAATCCACGAAACGAATGCGTGTATCAAAGTCGTAGGCTTGTCCGCAGTCAAGGCACGTAAAGCGGTGAAACTCTACATGTCTGCGGCCGACCGTGGCCATGTCTATGCTAATGACTGCACACAACAATATAGGACATTTCCTTACAAATTCGAAATGCAGAGTAAACTTTCGCCCAAATAATTGCATTGTATTCCGAAATATCCTTTGTAATGCAACGCCAATTGCGTTTTTTGTAACGCATGATTGCAATTGTTATTCTCCGTTCGACTACATTTCGTGTGAATTAGATTAAAGCTACGTTGACTTAAACGTCGTTTACTTTTACGGACCTTGTTGTTGGTATTTAAGGTTTTTCGCTTTGACTTTTCCGTGATTCATTGAAGTACCGATGAGTTGCGAGGGCTTGGAATTCACGGCACCTACAGGCAGGATCGAAAAAAAGGCGTTAAGCTAAGGCGTAAGATATAAGTAGTTTGACACGTTTAATATTTTACATTCTTGTTATTATTAGGTTGTATTTTTCTTTTAGATGAAAGTTACAGGCATTTGATGTTAATATAACATTAAATTGGATGTAGAATGTAGAATATTTTTTTTATTTTATATCAACTTTATATTTTACATTTGTAGACGCCAAAGCGTTACCCGGTAATTTGCAAAAAATAATTGTAGAAATTTAAGCCTTCAACCTGCCAAGCATTAGTGACAGGCAAATAAGTCATCAGGTGCGTGTTTTTAAATAGCATTATTTCGCTTTCATTCGTGATAAAATCAAGAAACTGTATCGAGTTTGACTTCCCTTCTATTTTTCAACAACCCGATGGAGTGGGTAAGGCAGTGCTCAGTTTGGCCGCAGCGATGCGCGCGCGAGCCGTAACCGTCGCATTCGCGCTGTGTTTTTGTATTACAAACGCGCTTCAACAATCTAGTTTATTATCAGACCACAGACTATCGAAACTGTTAGCATGCAGTCAGGCATTGGGACCTATGAAATGTTTGACAGCGTTCAGTGCGTGGCGAGCGCGAAGAGCTGTCGATTTGATTGCAAACCGTCAAAGAACGTTCGAAGTAAACGAAGACCTAGTCCAGTTTCCTTGGGAAAAATACGCCAATCAAACAGAGGAACAAGTGTACAGCGATCTATGCGATGGAACAGAAAGTTTGCTGAGGTATAAACAACTTGCTCTTGATGTTAACGATGGCTACACTCTGCGGTTGGGAAGTAAAGGCAACGGAACCCTGAACGTCGATGTTATAAAAAGTAATTGGTTTTTTTTTCATTATTGTATATACGAATATTTAAGACTCTATCTCGACTCTACTCTTATACCATATCCATGAAAATATTTACTGTTGTCACTACGTTGTCTTCTTTACTTTAAATTGACTTTAGTTAGGTATTTATATGCGTACTTTCAACATGTCCAAACTATGGAAGTTTAATTAAATTTAAAAAAATTACCTTACGCTACAATGTATTAATCAAATTTTATAAATGTAAGCTATAAAATTGTTCACTGTGAACAGTTTCATCAAAGGAATTTCGATAGTTAAATTGGCAGTTTTAATTAAAATTGAAACTAACTTTTGTGTATATACACGAAATTTAGTTTCGTAATAAGACCAGAATTAACAGGTTATGTTTAATGTAAGTACAAGATCAAAGGGAAGCTAAGCAAAGGGACAGACTATATCTCATCAAACACGATATTATTGATACAACTACACCACACAGGTATTAATTATCCTTTGACCGGTCAAGTCGTGTGGTGAAGATTTAATGACCTAAAACATATAAAACATGACATTTTCCTTTTATTTAAAATATTTAGATAATATCAACACCTTTGGATACAATTTATATGCAGTGGAAACGCACGGTTACTTATTATGAAATCTTATTTCATTAAGTTAAGTTACTAAGTGCTGGATAACTGATAAATAATACCATACCGGATTAAACCGTTTAAGATAATCGCGCAATCCGTGCGTGGCCCCGCGCGCTTTCTTTGCGTCTCGCCTCCTTCATCAAAAATATACATTCACATCGGGAGCGCCTTTGAGAGATTGTGAAACGCCAAGGACTAATTTATTTGACATAAGAACTTCCAAGAAAATTAAAAAGTCCAAGAAAGTCCTGAATCCAAGGTCTTACTTAGGCATTGTGAAATAAGTCGAAGATAAGAAAATATTTTAATAAATCTGCTAAATACAAAAGTATTTCCCAATTCTGATTATTACTTCCTGAGATTAACATTTAGTATTATAAATATTTGCTTCATTTTTATTAGTTACTAGTTGTAGACAGCGGCTCCGTCCACGCGAAAATAAAACAAAACTTAATAAGTAGACTATTTGTTCTTCCAGGCTATATTTTACATCTATGCTAAATCTCAGCGAGAGCCATGCAGACACCCGGAGGTATCTTCTAACATCCATTCATCCATCTAAACATTTGCATTTATAATATTAGTAAGATTAGATAATATTATTAGAATACGATTAAATTTCTAATATTTACATAAAAAATTCCAAGACTATAAACATGTTTAACATATTATGCTATTAAACTATACCCTGTGTCTGGGAAAGTTAATAATTGTAATACGCCCACTGTCCGTATTATAGTGAAAGGTGAATTAAAAAAAAATCAAAACGTAAGATTTTCTAATTTATTTATAGTAACGTTAGTTCAACTAAATATAGAATGTTAGGAGTACTAGAATATAGAATTGAAGCAATGATTATTCTCTTTGAAAAAACAAGGACTACAATATGAAATTGATATATAACACGGCTAAACACTCACGTATATTCGTCCGATGGCGGCACCGACTAGTTTCGAGCCCATGGGCGTCGTCGGTGCCACCACCGGACGAATATACGTGAGTGTTTAGCCGTGTTTATATATCAATTTAGTATAATGTCTCACGAAAGTTTGAATACTTTAATTGACTACAATATGTGCTAAAATAAGTCAGTGCACTCGAAACGCACAGTAATTGAAGCTTATTTAATTAACTATATATTGTTTTGTACGTTGACTTCAACGAGTCAATGCCATCAATTAATTACCTTCATCAATTATCCCATTCTAGAATAAAATATGAGTAATTTTTGATACAAAAATTAAAAATAATTTAAAAATAAGAAATAAAGTGCTAATTGTATTTTATATTTTAATTTCAGGCGACACAGACACCGGCCGGGGTTACATGAAGAAGATGAAAAAAAAGTTTTTAAGCATTATACCTTTATTATTAGTTCCTGGTCTCATCATGTCTGCGATCTTGCCATTTGTCTTGCCAGCTTTAAAAATGATGGTCATAGCCGTCGGTATACTAAACAATATGGCACTGTCGGGTGCTGTATTCACATTATTAAGAAATAATGCATTCAACGAAGCTAATCAACATAGGATTATTTATGTCAACGAGGGTTACCATAACGAGAAACATTACCCTATACCGACTGATTTACATCATTACCCGCCCTCCGATCATATCATTGGTGATCTAGCGCCACCTGGTGGTGAAAATATTTTGTTAACTGATAACAATGGAATAAAAGATGCAAACTTGCCTTGGATTGATAACGGAGATATCAGTCACGTTTACTACACGGACACAAAAATAAAACGAAAAGGTCACATCGCCAAAGAGACTGTATCTTAATGTGTATTTAGTGTAAGACTAACTTATTACTATTTATTTTAATATACGTTAATAATAAAAATAAAATGTTTTCAATTTTTAATAACCTATAAAATAATAATATCGTCGGTGGTAACCTTAGAAATCATACTAATAAGAATGCTTAGTTGGATGGATGGATGAATGGATGGATGGATGTTTGAAGATATGTTCATGAAATCTGGCATACATATAGAACATAGCATAACGATTTTTAATTCCGCGTGGACGGAGTCGCGAGTGATAGCTAGTGCTAACATATTGAAGAAGCACTTCCATAGGAATTTCTTTTGTTATCTGTAATTACAGTGGTTTAAATTTAAATAGAAGGCTGGTAAAGGGATTTTATAATGGAAACAAAAAACGAGCATTTTCCTCAGCATTTAATAAATAAAGAATTACAACAATGGACTTAGAAATAATTTGTTTTCAATTAGATACTTAAGCTAACAGTCACCATATTACGTGGCAATATAATCACCTAAATCTATCTCAAGCTTAGCATTGTGTTTCATATCATACTGTTTATCAGCACCATAAAACGATCGGTTACAATTACAAACTTTCCTTAAAACCTTTTCAACCTTAAGTGATAAAGACATAAATAAAAACCGCAACACTACAATAAATATATAATAGTTATATTACTATAAATTATATTGTTAAAGATCAAAACAAAAACGAGCAACCGGGTTGTTCGTTTGTAATCTTATTTAAAATGCATATCAATCTTAGACAGTAGACTGCTGTTACATTTTGGTTTTGCCATTTGTGCATATCTTTTAGATGTCATTCACCAAAACGTTAATTAAGCATTTATGTTCCATTAAACTTCTCTTAAATTCATTGCATTTCTATGGAAGTTCTACAAAGTATTATTTAACATCTTTGTGTTCAATAAATAAATAAGATAAAGTAAAATTTTGGTTCTTAAGTAGTTTTCTTAAAACATTTATGTTTCATAAATTAAATTACGATTAATTTACACCGTTAAATCTACGCATTGGCTACTAGCATTATTGCAATCATTCCGTCAGTTTGTTAGTAATTTCTGCGAGTTTTCTGTCTTCTTCTGGCAAGTCTGCGTCTTCCCAGCCCCACACCGGATTTTCTGGATGATGGTGGTCGTCTTCAATACTCTTAGTGTCTTTGCTATACGGATGCGATCCGTCACCAGTTCTTGTAACTCTTTTCCTAATCATATCAGCTGAAACGGTCTTCAAGTCGTAAGCTAGACCTATAATTAAACAAAATACCTAATGTAACATATGTTAACATATGTTCTAGATAATTAGCTTCTAAAGACGCAACGTCTTACATTTATATATTCCCTTGGCATTTAATGAGTGATTTTACATTTGTATTTTTAATTACATCTTTGCTATTATATGTGTAAGGCGCATGCAGTTCTACACTTGTAAACGCCTAGAAAGTTAAAAGTTGTACAGGCGTTGTGAACTAATGAGAAAATCATTATTATTGATGTATAATGACGAAAATTATGATAAGCCATTTTTGGATATTATTCGTTTGCACACTAGATGTCATGTGAATTATTAAAATTATTTCAACATTACCATATTTCGCCGCCCAGTCAATTAGGGCTGTAGAAAAATTTGTACTGTAGTGGCCCAATTCCGCCGCCTTGTAGTCCCACGGGAACACGTGGTGGTAATTGTGCCATCCTTCTCCAAAGGCGCAGATAGCAACAGTTTTATTATCCGTAGCGCCTATGTATCTGAAATAGCAAATATTTTGTTTATATCTATGAATTTAATACAGAAGGCGTTTTTCATTACAATTATAAAAATCTTAACACAAAGGATGTACACACTATAACTTCTTGAGATCTTAATATTTTCTATTATGTTTAAGATTTGTGCAACGTACGGGCATCAAACCTTTAGTCACGTCATGTTAAATGACCTTTCGCGGAATGCACTTTACAGCGTCACAGTACAACTGGAATTTGCAACGGTACGTTTATTGAAACGCCTCTTGACGCCAATCAAGATTGATACATTCAAGCACGATGTACGAGCAACTAAATTTTCATATACAACGTCTCGATAACCAAATTCAAGACTTTCCAAATGTTTTTACTTGTATGCAGAAAAATTGGGAAGAAAGTCCCTTATTATGAATGGACACTTTAATTATAGGTTTATCGATGGACCAACATCGCGACAGTAGACTATACTGTAGGTTGTAATTAAAATTTTCTTAAACAATTCCTTATAAATTACATTCCATTGCACTGACATTTACTTTCACTGACAGTTAAACCGATATCGTTCGGCAAACTTATCTGACCCGGTGGGTATAAGTGAAACTAAAACAATAGTTCATTAGCACACCCGTGATAATAATAAAAAAAAGTGTTGCAAAACCCTTGACGGACGTAGCTGTCTTGTCATGTGTTGTCTTGAGTGGTATTTTCTAGGCTTAATGCTATCGCGGTTGGTTCTGTCAGAGTATATATAAAACCTACTTAAAGAAAATGATATAAAATGAAAAAATAACAACAGCTACAGTCTAAAGAATTTCTTGTGACATATTTTGATATAAAAAGGGGGCGCTAGTGAGCTTTTTAATAATTTAGTTTCATTTATGTCCACCGGTACAGATAGCTTTGTCTGTTTTAACTGCGATTCTTTTACCGGGCTAGATAAGTTTGTTGCACTGTAATTACTGTCAGTAACAATAAAAATGGCGGCTCACTTGTCATACGGGCGATTGCCCCAGATGTGCGCAGCGGAGTTGACGAGCCAGGTAAAGTGCAGCGACAGCGTGTACCGGAACATAGAGGCGACGTACCACGAATGCCAGGGGTTCTCACTCCACAGCGCTACCGGCACCCACGCCGGCAGAATGAAACACAGCAGCGGCATCACCACCAGATATGTTCTGAAACATTTTGTTTATTTTCAATCAACCTAATGTTACGTATGCTTATAATTAAAAAAAAACATTCTTTAATTTTTTTAATTCATGCGATATAATGCTCGTATCTTCGAGGCATAGAAGATTTATATTTAATTGCCGTGATAAGTTTTAAATCTTCCTTTGTCTTTATATAAAGCTTATATTCTCGTCTTTATTTACTCCACAAACCTGGAATGTGTCAGGCGCGACCTTCACTTTACTGACGCAGAATTAGGCATGGTGTGAACCATTAACACCATTTTTTTGTACCGAATAAAGGTAAAAATTAAATAAAAAGCTTACTTCTTTTGAAACATAACAATTGGATCTTTCTCTAGATCAGACATGTCGACGATGGCGCCCTTCTCTAATACATCCTTGTGTTTCCGCACCATCAGCCAGCCAATGTGCGAAAAGAAGAAGCCGCGCCGCGCGTTGTGAGGATCTGCGTCTGTCTCCGTAAACTTGTGATGAACCCTGTACATTAAAAACACTAAATAAGTACTTGTTTCCACTGCCGAAATATTTATACCAAAGCATGTTATCATATTGTAACAAAGATATTAATTTTTATTTTATAATTAATAGCTCAGTAAAAAATCTGAATTTGTGAATTTAAAAAGAAAAATAAACAGTAAGTTTCAATTTGAGAGATATCATTTCATTTGCAAAAACAAAGTTATTTAAATTAAAAAAAACATGCAACTAGTAATTTATTTTACAGCTATCATTTTCAATCGTCTTTTTTTCGTACCAGATTTTTAATTAGGTCAACGTGTAAAGTACACGCCAACTTTAAATTAAAATGTAAAACTTTATTTCAAAAAGTAGGATACAAAAATCTTCAGAAGCCACGTGATTTGAAAAAGCGTAGATGATTCATAACATCTGGTTTAAATTAACAGTTTTTTAACGACCAACTAAAACTATAACATTTATTTTCGTAATAAAATAAAGATTTTTTAAAATTATAATATAATATGAGTTTATAAATAGAATTATATTAAAGCCGCTCATGTAACTATGAATATACAATATAAAAAAAAATTACTTCCAAATTCTCTGTTTTAAATAAAATAAGTCTACTATAAAGATAACATATGTCAAAAATTGTAATTAGTCTGTTCTAGAAGGTTCCAGACTGTTTAATACCTGTGATCCCGCACCCACTCGTATATGTGGTTCTGGAAGGCCATAGTTTGCATTACCGCCAGGAACAGTCTGAGCGGCCACCGCGCTTTATACGCGTTGTGGGCCCACAGCCGGTGCGCGCCTGCTGTCACGCCCATAGCTGACAGCACGCCGAAAGATAAAGCTGGAAATTGTGCAAAAAACTAACAATTTCAGTAATTAAAAAATACTACTTTACTTCTGTATTTTCCCTTCAAAATCATGAACTAACTTGCCTCTTTAGAATTCGGGCAAGTTCTTACTTTTAATGCTTTCAAAAGTTTATATACGTAGTACGAAATGTACGTGTTTGAGTATTGAAATAAATTGAAAGCAGCACTTCAAATGCTCGTATCGACAATAATATATTTTCGTATTTGCTTTGTTGCCAAAATCAAATACGAAAAAAGCTTATCACGTTCCATCAGCGATTCGATTCGTATCTATCGAGACTATTCCTTCCATCAAATTTTTTGCAGCTGTTTGTCAATAGATGTTAATTATTTTGCTCCGCAATGACACTGATTCCATATTTTGCTCAATAAATGCAAATGTTATATTTGCCTGACGAATGTTGCATTAGATGTCTGTAGTCAACTCACCGAATAATAACGTCAATATCTTCGATTTTAAGGTCAGTATGAGGTAAATGCCGTACAATGAGGCGACGTGCAAATAAATGAAAGCCAAGACGTTTCTCCATACTATTTGCCATCTGAAAATAAACAAGTGCTTAGTACAAACGCAAGATTAGTAACATTTTCTTACTCGTCGCCGTGTCGGCCTAACGTTTACATAAACTTTTTCGTAAGCGTTTAGTAATAATTAACTATGTCATTTAACTGTAGTACTATTAGCATGTATCACCAAATTCTTGGAGGACTAAAACTTTTAATTAAACTGGACATTTTCAAAATTAATTTTATTTTTAATATTTCAGTATTAAATGACAGGATTGTGATTAATTTTGGTCCTTCCGAGTATAGATTTCAAGGGAATTAAAATCAAAGGGTTTTAGGTAAAAGTTTAATTATAAATTTAATGAAAAATTCAGTTAATCATCTCCTCGCAGAATTTATTTTTACAATGGCAATTTTTTTGTAAGGGCTGTTCCATCATTTGTATTTTCTGTAATGCTCTGTCTAAGGAAACTTGGAATAAGAGTACTTACTCGTAATCCCTTCTTTTGGCGTATTGCACGTTGTCACTGGCCATTCTTTTCATTTGCGCAATGTTATTACCTTGATATGGTGGCATTTTTCATACGTTGAATATCTTCAACTGTAAAGACAAAAAACAAATTCAAATATGTCAAACTCGAAGTCGTTTCTATGACAGTTTAATGGTTTTATTTTTCTGTGAATGCGAAAAAAGTATCGTTGCATTTAATGTGAAAAATATTCTAACACACATAACTTTACATTAAAAATATAAACAAATCTATCAGGAAGATGCTTACTATCATCGGAATTGTTAATTTCTATTGGAAAAGCAACTTGTTTTCTTTTGGATGTGCAGTGCGATGTCTTACAGGCAAATTAGTTATGAAATGTTCAGCGGTTTGTCCTACTTTGTAGGTTTATTTTCGTTTTCGCCCGACTGACGAGAGGGTAATGTTTTTCACGGGTAAGTTTCTATGCCCGTTTTTGTGCCTTTCCATTTCCCTTGCCACATTTCCACATTGTGTCCTTCTTTAGCATGAGTGACTAGAGCAATTTTGATGTTGACCCTTCTTCTTGGACTACCACAGAAGCAGAGTCAGTCAGATTTTTTTATAATTACCAGTTATTGAATATTTTAAAATAAATAACTATTCAAGCCTGTGTGAAAGGTATATTTGAAATTAGGAAATAAACTTTGAAACAATATCCACGTGTAAGATAACCTAATATTTTTATTATTCACGACCTACCTTGAAATTCTCAGGGGCGACGTGTCACGAATAGTGACATAGATAAAAATGACTTATGCATAATGATATTTATATTTATTATGTAAGAAATGAGCTAACAATAAAATTTGCGAACTGAGCTACAAAGTTTATGCTTAGTTAGATTTAGTTTGTAAACTGTTACAATATTTGACATTAATTAATTTTTGAATAATAAAAGAACTCGGGAGTCTTTTGCTTAAGAACTTTTTAAGGAAGAAGTAGCAACGAAAAACGTTGATATGTGTATTGAAGTTTCTTGCGGGTGTTTGTGTGTGCATGTGATATTTGATATGTAATTAGAGAAGAAAATAATATATATTATTTTTGGGATAATCCTTTCAAGAAGATGTTGATTTATTGAAGCAGAAAGGTCTTTATGCTAACAAGCATTAACGCGTACAAGAACTGAGCTGAAGACAATTGTGTCAAGACAATAAAACGCGCGAATCTCTTCGTTATTCATCATACAGTTATTCATTGTCACGAATGTGTTCACTTTCCTTAAAGAGGCTTGTAAGCTTTGTAACTCTACACTTTTAGTTAACAGAAATATACGATATTGTTACTGTTTTCAATGAAACAAATTCTATTGCAAAACTTTCATTTACTTCCGAGCCAAAAGTAAATCGACATTAAAAAAACATGATCAGCCAATTCTGCGAACTCAGACATTTTACTTAGGTTTAAAATAAACTTTTATTTTTTACTCTGTATCATACAAAAATACAAATCTTTCCTTTAAATAATAATAACATAGACAGAGTTCAATTTTGCAGTAAAGTTTGCAGTTTTTATCTATAAATAAGAAAAAACACACAAAACATGAACAAGAAATATTCTAGAAATATAATATTAAAGTGATAATGATCGTCGTTCAATTACTCCATAATTATAAACGTTATACAAATAAAACTTAATAACAGGCAATGATTAAGGGCCAGAAAGGTATCGGGAAAGTTTCCACTGGGTACAAAAGTAATCTCTAATACATATAAGACTGTTACAGGCGCTAAGTAGAAAGTATCGTTTCGATCCGCTGCTATTGTTGTGTTCATGAGTATAGTAGATGGTGTTTTGACGAGCGACATGATTAAACATTATCGTGGAATTCTATAACTTTGATAAATACAGTCCCTGTTCTTTTTTAACCAAATCCCAATTTAATTAGGTTATTAATTTGTCTGTTTTTTTTTAAATAATAAAAACAATGAAAGGTTGACAATATGCGTAGAGGGTCACAGTTACGATCTTTGCCTCAATTTTCACTCAAAAAAAAACCTACGCCTACAAAGAAATTGATTTCCACACGCACTACATACGACTCATATACATATAAAGGTATAGTTTTTTAATATTTATATATTTGTCCATAGTTACTTTAGCTAATATAATTTATAATCAAATTTTCCAACAATCAAGTATTTACCGATCGGCCTTTACTAACTAACCTTGGGATAAATCGTTGCAACTCTGTGCCATTGTTAGTACTCTAGTAATTTCTCGTTTCAATTAACTTGTTATAAAATAAATTAAACCTAACTATATTCCTAAGAATAGATATTTACGGATAACGTAAATAAAATAATTTTAAGACTCAAAACAAAATATGGAAGACGGTAATAGCGCTTTTTTCTAAAAAAAATCTTGAATTATGTTTTAGGTCATTTAGTGTTCAATTTTACAGCATTTTGTAATTAAAATATTGTTGTGATGCTTGCACAACAGCAAATATTAATTTAAAATAGAAAGGCATGTTTACATGAGTCGACATCTGATGTTGTTCGAAGAAGCTATTACTATTATCGCGGCAGTGTACGTTGATGTAATGGCCTATTCGAAAGCACCTTATCTAGCTCTGTGATCGTCTAGCGAACATAACACTGCCCACTTACGCTACAATTTCCCTCCGTTACCTTGAGTTGGCATTGACTTTGAATATACGAATAATTTACTCTATTAAGACAAGAAGTATAGTTACTGACGAACTATAGACCGTCCCACGACGCTGTCACATCGGCGAGGTATCTTAAATTAAAAAAAAAAACGAAAAGGAAGGAGTAAATTCTTTTAGGTATTAAGGCCTTTTAAATTTGTAAAAATATTAATTCACCATAAGGATAACATTAATATCTTAAATTATAGTATACGGTGATGAACATACAAGCCGCCAACGAAACTAACCAAAATAGCGAAGTGACAGTTTTCCATAGACGTCCGAATTTACAGGTGCCTTGCCCACCTTAAATCTTCAGAGGAAGTCAGGGGGATGCACAAAAAGAGAATACATATATTTCCTGCCTATGCGTTCTTCCCCTAATCCACTTCCCATGCCATCTTTCCCTTGTGCAAAAAGGATGGGAAGGGAAAAGTTTGACCTCCGACATACACACTCAAGACGTTTAACGTTACGTTAAAAGTCTTACAAAACATGACAATGACCATACAATATTTATGAATTTTCACAATAATGACAATTTATCAACGTCGTTGATGATTAATGATGGATCCTCTTATCTAATTTAGATCATTAGAATAAGAGATGAACGTTTATACAATATGTTATTTTTTCATAATTAGCTTTCTAAGTAAAAGAGAAAATAAAATAAGGCCAGAAGCCTATTGTTGCGTCAATCAAAACGTCTTGCGAAGAAAGATACTTTAATCTATTGCTGAATATGTCTATACAATAAACAAGATTTCGATTTACTTAGTTTAGTCTATTCACGACATAACGGTTGTCAATTCAAAGGTTTCAACACACAAAAGTGTATGAACACTAAACTTGAAAACAAAAATATAAATAAACAGATAATACTAAGGATTTTTTGATCATTTTCAAAGGGATAAAAATATCAAATTATTTAACCTTTTTTATATAAACGGCTAACACTCACGCCATTAATCAGGTAATGGCACTACCTAGTTTCACTCTCATTGAGACCGTTAAATAAAGCTAATAATTATAATCCTGCTCGCCCTAAAGAAGATCTCTTGATGGGCTCGAAACTATTCGATGACGACACCGAACAATTTACGTCTTTGTTAGCCGTGTATATTTAGGATGGAAATTTGTTTTATACAAATGTTTGAACACATGAAACCCACAATTCTGGATAATAACTTATACGATTATCTGACATTAGCGACCTTGAAACTGTACACAAATAATTGTCCATCAATCAATAAATAATATGACCAAAAATGAAAATGACTGACCTTCTTTTAGTTTTATTAATGTAATTATCATTGGTTATTTGCTCTTGTTTCATATTTACCCTACAGCTTTTATATAAAAAAAATTACTGTTACTAATACAATTAAGTTGTTTTTAAGTAACACTAAACTTTTTTAAGATAGTTTTACCACATTTACTTTATGCGACATATCTACACTATATGATTTATGCAGTCATTTCCTTAAGATTAAGTTTTATCATCATGTTCATGGCATAAAGTTAAAAAACACAATGTGAAATAACTAATTTGAAATCATTTAAATTTCAAACAAATCGTTAACTGTTACTATTCTTTAACGACCACTTTATTTTTTTTTATTATACATATTTTTTATTGGTATTAAACAAAAGTGTATTGAAGATTAAAAAAAATTAAATGGGACAAAGTAAAAAACATACAAACAAATCAATTAGTACCAAGTCATCTTTAACACTGAACTTTCACTAAGCATCTTATAGAGTGCGAAGTGCGTAACAACGGAACTTATTCACAGTGTCACTTATGAAAGTAATCAATATGCGGGTCGCAACACCGTTTATATTTTTACCTACAAGTGTCATCTTATGTCGAGTGTTCTCTCAAGGATCATAAAGTAAACGGTAAAAATCTTGAATTACTTTGCACTTTTTACTTTTGATAGTCATACGAGCACGCGATTGACCTGATGTTAAATGACCACATCTACCTAATAATCGCTGCAATCAGTGGGTTCATCTTGTCACACATTTTGTAAGAAAATAATAATAAATACAGAAGGAAAACCCTACGGACAGACAGTGGCTAGCAAGTTATTCTTCTAATTAAATTTAGAAGTATTCTATCAATATTTTATGAAGCTATGAATTCGTAGGTAATGCTAGCCTAGTATTGTTTTTTCTAGTATTGTTCGTGCTTAAGAAAGAAGTATATTGCACAATATACGTACAGTACTTTTATGGTGAGTATACTTAAAATTCTTCCTTGTATATAAACTTTGTATGTCGTAGAGTCGTAAGTGTATGTCAACTTTCCCCCACAACTTTTGTTTTCAATGAAATTGAACGCCTGTGGTTAATCATCTTCTGAAATAAATATAAATAAAAGGTACGGAACCTGTTCCTTGACCCCGAGAC